CAATATCTAACATGGCAAAGAGCGGTTCATCACTTCTTTCTTTTAAACATGTAGACTATGAAGGAAACGTTTGGTGCCAGTGGTCTCTACAAAGTGTGATAACAGTGGTATCCCTTGTTCATTAACCATTTTAAACACCTTGAAATTGTTTATTATCATCACTTGTTAATTACTTGACACACAGTACAAGCTGAATTAAATGCTTAAATCCATATCTTAAGTATATTTTTCAGTCATAGTGCATAGACTTACTGAAAAGACACCCTAATATGATCAATCCATACAATATTTAGATAATCCCTGGACCAATTATCTTTTTCATTCACATCGGATCATTTTTCCATGTCTCAGTTTTTGCTGTGTTTATTCGAAATTCATTTCACAATGTATAATTTCAATATACACTGAATCACGTAATTTTTGACCTCAAACACAAGTGTGTGTATCATTTCAAGTACAATTGAATGTTATTGTATCTTGTAAATGATTCATACCAGTTGTTGTTGTTATCTGGTTGATTTATTATTAAGATTCACTATGTCTGTCTTCATTTGTGGAACAGATATTTTTTTGTGTTTAAAAGAAATCCAATGCAAATGTAAATAATCATACCCATTAGTTTTGGAATGAGAGAAATGTTCATTTCTTTGTTGTCTTTGTTGTTTTTTTTTAAAACTGGAGAGTTTAACTTTTTTGCTCATTTTATTTTGTTTATTGTTTGCATAGAATACTACATGTGTGTGTATACATTTCCTCTCTCTCTCTTTCACACACACACAAGTATTCAAAGATAAACTTCCAAAGGAGTGTCTTTTTTCAGTTGTTTTGACACTTAGTGAAGTCACCACTTGCTTCATATAACTGACTATTCACTGAATTATATATGTATGCGATTGGTCGCATATAATATTCTTGATTATTTATTGTTTGAAGAAGTGGCTTACACTGAGTCACGAAACGTCAGGAAATTTAATTTTTCTATTCATTGGGATATTACGAATATATTAATTTATTTATAACAGTCTACCCAATGCTCAGTTTATTTGAAATTATCAAATCAAACCTTGGTAATGATACCTATTTAATGCATGGTTTTTATATTTTTAATGAAGGTATTCTGTAATTTCGTAATAAATAATAAATAAGCCTTTGTTCACTACATTATGATTTATTGTTAAAAAAAAACCGTTCCAACGTTCAACATTGTACGGAATTGAAACAAATCTGAATCATTACTGAGTTTGTATCATAAGATAGCCTATAAGACCTTTGAAAGTTTGCCAAATTTATGTTCATCACTAGTCAGTAAACTTCCTTTTCAGTCTGTTGTTACGTGAATAATAACAATTTTCTAAATATTTCAATGTTTAGCTAAGTCTTATGATGATCCAAATAGTGTTGAGTGGATGAGGAACAACGCCTTGTGATCAGTCATCAGATGATCTGAAATAACTGTACCATACTAACTTAGTAATTCCATGGAAGTATTACAATTAAATGAGTAATTGTTTGTTTGTCTCAACACTATTTTTTCTTAAAATAAAACCAATCAATAAAATTGATCAAGAATCTCCACTACAGTTTCATATACTTAACTGTTTGCTGCGCTTTTGTAGACGAAGGTGGTAAGAGAGTGAAATAATGCTGCCATCACAAACTAATCGATTTTTCCAGAACATGGTTATTCCTAAGCTACAAGATTATAAATGATGCATTCTGTTATTAATTTGTTATAACTTGTGCCCTATGTCCTTATTATTGTATAACGTAATGATACCACCAATTAGAGAACAGGGAATTATCGACCGGACCAATGACACAAATAATCCGTACGAGCAGTCTAGAGTCCTCATCGGTCCTACTTCCTGCCTAGCCTTGCCTGCCTGTTGAGTCCAGAACACCAGTCTCAGCCTCTGCAATATGAATCATTTATTTCAAACATACTGGGTTTATATATCGACCAAACAGACCACATCGTATCATAAAATAGGAAACAACATTTGTACAAGATTTAGCCAAATGTGGCTGTGAATGTGGAAGATAGTAATTGATAGACTGCGTATAATTCAAGAATGGTATATCGTATAATAATAGTTCATAGATCAAAATCAAGCTTATGATGGGAGGAACACGAATCTGAATAGTTTAGTCGCTTAACAATTATACTATAAAAGTATATGTATGGTATTGGTCCTTAAATGGATCCCAAAAGTTACTATTCATTATTCTTATCGAGATATAACATAATTATAGGTTTCTTGATGTTATAATCAGTGAATGGCAAGCTGAATCAACTCACATTTTGTGTCAGATTTCATTTTGAATATGACTTACCAACTGATGATTGAGTTTCACATTTTTTAAAATAAATAAACTCAATTATGATTGATAGATGCTTTGCAATGATACAATATGTCCTAGTAATAACTGCTCATAAGACTAAATTATTGATATTATCCCGTATGAACTAATGATAGAAAACAACATATCCGCCCAGAAAAATAGGGTTTTTTTATGTAGTAAAATAACATACTATTATGCAAATTATTAAGATAATAATAATAGTAATAATAATAATAATAATAATCATGATTAGACGTCTTAAGCGTTCGGTGGAAAGCAGTTTATAGGTAACACGATCATCCATACTTTTCATATTTATCTAAACAATTTTTTTTACAGGAATACTATTAGCGAGATGGTTTTTGACGTAAACAACCACAAGCAACATATGAAAATTTGTTGTGAATAGATGAGAGAACTTGAAAAGTTCACTATTGATTACACGAACAATAGTTAAGTAATCATAATAATAGCTCTAAAAATAATAGTAGTTTCAGGCGCGGAGCGGGAAATTTGGAATGTCACTAAGATTTAAATGACTTCAGTAGTAAGGAACAAAGTGTTTGTTTGGTCAGTTTATTGTAATCATTTATAAAATATTCCTATTTAAAGTATATAGGGATTCCTTTTGAGCAAAGCAAATAACGTTTCGTAGATAGACTAGACGGGATAATGACATGATTAGAATCTATAACAATATGTAACAGTTAAACTTCATATTTCCTAATGAATTCCAACATCTTTACATATTTCTCACCAAGTAATAATTGTAAAGTCGTGTTTTATGTATAAAGCCAGTGTATACGGAAGTTTTACAGCATGTGATATGCACAGTATTCCCTATTTTAATTTTTCTTAACTGAACTGTTTAACTGTTCCGCTTTAAGTTATTGATTTAAACGAGTGACATTTAACTAACGGGGTGGTACTTGTAAAATCTACTCCACATATTTTAATTTGAGCAGCTGGTTAGTATTCCAAGAAGTTTCACAGCTTGAAACCTTGGAACGGATATTATAAAAGTTGGAACTGGTTTTTTGGATTATTATTAATTATGATTTTCAGTATAGGGATCTATGGATATTGTAATTTTAACAGTTGAATTAATGAGTCGATCTAATCTAGATCACCATTCGAAACACGGAAGTACTGGACATTTGTTTCGTCCCATAATATAGGACTTCTCAGCAGTATGCATCCAAAATCCCGCATGTGGGACTCGAAACTCGAACCTCCGGTCTCGCGCACGAACGCTTAACTTCCAGACCACTAAGCCCGACATCTAACAGTGTTAGTCTCTAACTCCAATCGATCCATGATGTTGTGCAACTGTTCATCCGTTGTCTGAGATGGATAACTATCTCACACACGACACGGATTGGACTCCACTAATAATTATAATTTTATTGCATAATTACTAAGGAACTAGATTACTATGTAAATATATATCCCATTCGTCATGAGTTTCCGGTTTACTCATTAACCACTGTTATACGATTTATTATTGTTGCTAGTTTATTATTTACTGTCTTTTGATAGTCATTTTCGGCTCGCTGATGTATAATTGTTATTTTTTATTTGATGGTGTGGTGTGGTCTGTTATGTCTGTTTATTAATCATGTTTGCTTGAAACATGAATGTAGTAGAGTCTGATTGCTATTTCTGGACTCAAGACAGGGTATAGAGAAGAGCTAGCGAATATTGGGTTATTAGGAACTTAGCTGCCAACTCAAGGCTAATAGTGCTGGGTGTATAATTAGCCTGGTCAAGGAACACTAAGCTCTAGAGTAATTAGTAGATGCAAATTCGATGAAATTAAAGTCAGAATTGTTATTGTTGACTTGACACATGATTTTTGGTCAATGGTCACAAGTCATAATAAATTTGAACCCTGAATCCACTATACTTCGATATGGACCACTGAATGATATTAAAATAATTAACGTGATATTTATTATTTTTAAAGTTAAATTCACGAGTTGAGACCATCATTAATAACCTAGAATCACGGGACTTGTGGATTTAGCCTTAAAGATACTACAATCTCCACAAATTCCCATGCTCCCAAATGCCCTGGTACGACCGAGAGTGGGGAGAGTCCGCTCTCCCTCTCGAAATGCTCTCACATGGACATGTTTATATAGCTTCTGCCAAAGAAGTCCTACCGCCTTCTCGTGGCATTACTGTTGTTTACGAAACTGAGAGGACGAGAAGCGAATGTCTGGCGCTTTAACCGGGTTGGTGGACATGGAGAGTCCACCTAGCGGAGTTGGAAAACCCGGATTCCAAACCAATGGTGCACATGGGCTGGCTCCAGTATCCTGAGGGAACAAATGGCGTATGAACGAATCGTTGGTGACTGGCTACCATGGGACTGCATCTCCTTACGATGCTCTACTGCCTTTTGGATCAGACTTTTAGGTCGAAGGCTCCTGGTGTGGCCTCCTAAGAAAACCACGTGTTTCAGTTTGGGCACCCGTTCAATATCACAGCCCTCACACGAATCAAAGGAGATTTGTGTGGCTCAGATGTATTTGGTGCCTTCTTGTACCAATATCTATGTGTTCAAATAAAAAAATAAATAAATACAATTCCCTATACTGATAATATTGATTATTAATAAACTGTTTATAGTGATAAATCTTAATTTTTTTTTTTTTGATTCTTTTCTAGGTAATTTCTATCAATTTATTATTACTGATTATGACAAAAAATATTTTATAAATGGATTATTAATTTACAAATTAAAAACAAAATACACTAATGTTGTCCTTATCAAATACACATAGGTAATCCATATTAAATGTCAATGAATGGAATTAAATTTAATTCAGATCAAAATGATGATAATCAGTATAATAATAATAATGACATAGAACTATTGAACAATCATATTACATTATTTCCTACTACCAATAATATTAATAATACTAATTTATTAAATTTTGAACATATTTCTGATAATATCAATAAAGTTAATGTAGGATCATTTTTAAAACAATTACAATGTGTTATTGGAGAATTAGTTGAATCAGAATCAGTTTATTTAAAAAGTTTATGTGATATTGAAGAGGTAAGTTATCATTATGATATTTTGTTGTTGTTGTTGTTGTTGTTGTTTAATTGAACCTATGTGTGATGTGCTAGGTTTGAAATTATCACGAGTTCACTTAATCTGCGAACGAGTAACAGACTCGGTGACCATATACCAGTAAGCTAGATATTGATGCGTCCCAGCCCCGCTATCTAGAGGGAGAAGTCCAAGCTTTGAATGGAACGTGTATTCTGCAACAGCCAGAAAACGAGCGAGCACCAAAAACACAATTTAAAACGTATATATATATATATATATATATATATCGATATTGCCATGGAGCTTTTAAACATTTAATCGATAAGTTCGTCAATCGACTATGTGCGTGGATGGTAAGATGTGCCCACGCATACATCTGCATACAAGCTCCACAAGATAAAATTACACACTATGAGTTTTTGAGGATCTATCGTCCCCAAAATGATTTTTCTCCGAAAGAGAATTCTTTCTGTTGTGGTCTGGTATTTTCAACTCATTCTACATGTTTCTGACACTGTTTGGAATAGTCAGTCAGTAGCAACGTAGAACTTCGTACATACGTACATCAGTTCGAGTTGCCATACCACATTAGTACAGAGATGCAGTTGTCGATTCAAATCTCATAGTGGTAGAGGTAGTAAGAGTATAAGCAGTAATCGGAAACATTAGGATCTGAAGATGTTATTCAAAGAGTATAATACAGTGAAATAAATTTGTGAAGAAAAAAAAAAGGAAATAAAGAATTCAAAAGATTAGAATTTAGGAGAACACAAAGAATGGATGCACCTGTGTCATTGCAAACGATTTTGAGCCATGTCATTCAAGGTCTCTAACCATCGGTTGTTATCATCTCACGGATCCCAACCAGGTAGACTACATCTACCAACATGGCTCAGTTCACTTGTCAGTGACTTCATGGATTTGTGCCATGTTTTGGTCTGACCGCCACTAGCTTTCTTCCAACCTACTCCTACACCATAAAAAATCGCTCTTCGGCTCAGTCAGTGGTTGGGTATACGTTTCACTACTTCATCAATTAATTTGCCATCCTTAGCTAGTACCCGTTTCCTAACAACTGCGTTTGGAACAGCATAGCTCTAGATATAAGAGTTTCCAATACCTGACTGATTCCATCTATGGAAAGAGAGAGAAAGGATCAAGACTATGGTGTATGAATGTTTATTCCTGAAAGCTGATTAATAATATTTACGGCTTTTGTATATTTTTAGACTGAAAAAAATTTACGGGTAATAAATAACCTTGACTGAATAAATAATTCATTGTTTTTATCTAAGTATCCTATAAATGATATCGGCCGAAGAAAAATCATTTTGAAACCAGTTATGTAATCGTCATTCACACACAATTAAATAATTTTAGTTCTATTGATACAAGTATAGAACAATTAAATTGGAATTAAGAATTTTAGCTAATTGTAAAACTCTTCGTTTTGTTTTTTTCCTACATAATTAAATATTCACTAAGTAATTTATTAGGAGTTATCATTAAAAATGTCTGGTGAAATAAACTTATTAGAGTTTCTCTGGGATCACTTTCAATTAGTATCATTTATAAATTCTATAGGTTGATTTCTGTAATTCAGAATTTGTATACAATTGGTCTATAATTTCAAGTATATATTGTACTTACAAGTTAATGATAATGATAACTTTGACCATTGTAAGATTGTAATTCAATATTCCACCTTAATCATATCAGTTTAATGAGGTTATCAATTTTACCACAGTTTAGTAAATATAGTGAAAATTTCCATTTGGACATTCGGTAAATACAGAAGGAACGAATTGAGCGAAGAAATTTATTTTCAATTGATTTTTCATCATGGCTGCATCGAATGTTTTTTGTGCAGCTTTTCTTAGTCTCTGAGTCACAATTTATTCAGTAGTATCATTTATGAATTGTAATTTTATGAATAGTACTTTCTTATGAACCGTGGGTATTTTTGCCTTTGGTTTCATCTCTATCATGTGTTTATCGATAAATTTCATAGGGTACCCATTCATACTAAGTAAATTCATAAATGACACTACTGAAGAAATCGTGACTCAGAGACTAAGAAAAGCTGCACAAAAAACATCTAATGCAGCCAGACTAAATTCTATCTTCTACAACCACTCCACAATAAGAACGGCCAATAAAGACAGATTGTCTGAATCCGCCAAATCCATGTGTATTTATCGATTCGACTGCTCCTGTGGAGCCAGTTATATAGGGCGTACAATTCGTCATCGTATTACAGAGCACCATCCGTCGTCGTTAAATAAAGGACGCGTAAAAGTGATTAAAAGTTCTATTCTCGCTCATTTGATTGACACAGGTCATCAAGTTGAATTGAATAAAGCTTTTCCTAACCGTTGTTGCTACCTTGACGTGGTGGTCGGGCTTGCCTATCGTGATGAAGCAACTGAGCTATACTGGCTGGAACAACCGTTCCTCAAGGTCCTACCATACCAGACAGGTCGGTTGAAGAGCGGTAAGACTAAAAGCAACAAAACCAAGGTCCGAAGGCGAAGTCGTACTGCTGACTGTACAGAGGTGTGACAGCAGTAAGGTGTTTCCTTCAGACAACCAGCATGACAGCGATGCTGCCTTCCCACAAGGAGGGGTGGGGTTAGAAAAGGTCGACCCTAAAAATGCACACCTCGCCTTATCCCACGGATATCCGTCTCCGGCGGTAAGGACTCAACAAGTACGGAGCTAACACAAAAATTACTCATAAAAAGGTCGTGTGTGACCGACCTCAAGCAGCTGTCCCTTGGGCACTGTGGTCACGCTCTCAGGTCACTATGACCAACTCTAATCCAATTTCCTTTTCAGGTACCTCCAGAAGAACCCTTCCACGGTGTGGGCAACCGGTAAGTGATAACCGCCCTCATACCTCTAACAGCATAGAATAAAGCTTTTAAGGTTATCTACCATATCCCATCAAATTTACTACAGGGTTTACGAGTGAGCCTTTTGCACATTGCGGAAGCCATCGCAATCCATGTTCACAAACCTGACTATTGCATTCCAAAGAAATTTGTTCAACCACTTTCGCTACCTTGGCCATCGGCATAAGATTTCTTTCAGCAGAACTATTTTTCGTACTTCTTCCATTTGAATTTATTTTGAACTTTGTAATTTCTCAACATTCATATCTTGATTCTTACGTAACTACTGTTCCATTGACCATCCACTAAAATATTCTGTTCCCTCTATTCTTCACATATTATGCAGCGTAGCAACTTCTTGACTTAATAATTACTTTGAATATTATTAGTCGTCTTTCTTCCAACCACTCAATATTAATGTCACTATGTAATTATTACGTAACGTATCCACTCAATGAGTATTATATCATTATTGTAAATTATATATATATATATATATATATATATATATATATATATATATATATATCAGTGTAGAGCCACGATGAAGAACTCATTGAAAAGAAGTTTAGTAAATGTTATACATTACATCACTTACTTGCTAACTGGCTTGGAATCCCAAGATTTAATCGTAAAATGTGATGTATGTAAACTTAACAGTTTGTAATAAACTTTGTAAGTGTAGGGCTATGGGGATTGTCGAATTTCATTGAAATATTGGAAGCACTGGATAGCCGTCTTGTCCTATTTTTGGACTTCTCAAAAGTCTACATGCACAACCTCACACTGAGGAATTGAACTCAGGATCTCCAGTCTCACATAAATAACCCTATACTTACTATTATTATGTGCTCATTGATGACTAGCTTCGAGAGGAGATTCTAAGAGTTCTAGTTAAAAGCCATGACCAATGGAGTTCAACAGTGTCAAGTGAGAGGCAGTTACCCACCGAACACAATGGGAGATGATCGCACAATGTTGATAATTAATTGAAGTTAGATATCGACATCATTAGATCCTGGCTCAGTGGTCTGGATGTTAAGCGTTCGCGCGTGATTGAAGCTCCTGTGTTCGATTCCCGCTTGTTTGATCATGGATAGTTATTGTAACTTGTGAGGTAGCTCAGCAGGTGTCTGGTTATATTTATTCAGTAGTTAGACTGTTGTCAATTACGTCATTACAATTTCTAATTAGTTTATGTTTATGTCTTTTAAATCTTATATCTCTAGTCTCTCTATAAAATTGAATCAATGTATGCGTATGTGTATTTCCAATTAATCATATTTGTGCGTTCAGACATTCTTAGGATGTTAGTGTTTTTTTTACATAATTTTCACCGTGGACTGACTGACCAACATTAACTGAAGAGTTAGAATTTAAGACGGTGTTTCACAGTGATCTTTCAATCAGTAATTTTGGATATAAAATAGTTTGTATCCACAGATTTATTTTTCAATTGTCCTCAAGATGATATCAAATTGTAATGAAGAATAATTTCTAATCTATCAATCTATACCGATACCCTCTATTTTGATAATTTATGTTTCGTTTGGTTAAATCAAACCATACAGTTAATAATGATGTTTACAAGTATAAATAGTTGAAAATGAATCTTATTTGTTCTAAATGGGTATATTACAATGGTCAAATTAGCCTGAACTAGTGATTCATCTGGTATCCTCGTCTCCAAGTATTATTGTTTATTATCCTAATATGTTTAATTTGTAGATTTACATTTATTAACATTTAAAAGCAAATGATTTATATCAGAAGGGGTTTTGTGGAGATTGTAGTAATTTCAACAGTTGAGATCATGAATCAATTGAAGCTAGACCAGTGCTTCCAGGTTTTCCATGGTGGTCTAGCTTCAATTGACTCATGATCTCAACTGTTGAAATGATTTATAGTTTGATTTATAAGCAATAAATATCCAGATCAGAAATAAACAAAATTAATTGTATATTTCTATTGTTTTTGATCATATGGATCATAAAAATATTTTATCTGACCTAAAGATTTTACTTCCTAATTAATCCATCGATTAACGTATTTATTTAATTAATTAGTATCTTATAAAATCTTCCATGCTCTTACCTCCTTTTCCATCCTAAAGTTAGTTATTTCCTATAAACATATAAGAGGAGATTAAGGAATTTCTACTTCCCCATACTTTTCTTTGTTCTCTAAAGTATTTTCTATAATCGATTATCATCAAGAAAGTTATATTTTCACATTTAAATTATGGTTTTATTATTGAGGTTATAAAAATTAGAATATTCTAGTTTAGTATATTCAGGGTTTTACATTCAACTGAGAAAGTCTTTTACGTGTTGTTTTAAGCAACACTGGTAATGTATTCGGACCGAGTTTTTTATTTAATCATAATTGTTGACTGGCAATGTTTTGTTTCACTAGTTCAGGTGCTTGACTATTCAGTTCAACTTTCATCTGACATGCTTCAATGTGATCAGTGGACGTGTTTCACATAATTTTAAAATAACTGAATTTCACAAGAATGTGTCCAGTTGCTCATTTACAGTCCGTGAAAGTTACTCTTATTAAGAAAACTTAGTGGTTTTCAAAATCGTTTGTTGTTTTAGTTCTCAGAAATGGGTGTTATGACTGATTATTTTTATCAGGTGATACTATAATCTAAATAATGACCTGTTATTTCTATCAATGGATCGTCAGTAAGTAGACTGGTCTTTTGACATTCAAGTGATAAATACTTCATATTGATATAATGAGGTTTCCCCCTAATCTCTATTGAATGGATCGACATTTCGTAAAGGAAAATGTCAAACAATCCAAATGGTTGATACTGTAAAATATTGTTCTGGTGGACAGGTATAGTGCATAATAGCTAAATGTTCTACCCAAACAGTATCACATAATGAAGTTGAGTTTTTCTTTTATCAACTCATTCTCAAGTCATAACACTTGTTACATAATAGTATTGTGAACTTGACGGATAAGATAAATCTATTTCTGCATATCTGATCCAAGATTTAACTGGTCAATCTTAAGGAATAAATTCAAGCGTACCCATCCATTTCGACATCAACCAGATATGATATCGTAAATTCATGAGCAGTATAGATGTAATTTCGTAAATAAATATCCCCCAGGTTAATAAGATAAATACATTATTGTTTCAAACAACACATACATTCAATGTGTCAAAATCTAGGTTATACAATTTTTTTTCACATTATCAACATGAAGAGTTTATATAAAGATAGTTGTTAGTGTTATTCACATTTGTTTTCATTTTGTTTTCTTCTTCATAGGGTTACTTATTACGTTTAAAAACAAATCCAAGTGTAGATCAACAATTTCTCGATGTCGTCTTTCATAAAATTTCGGATTTACGAGTTTTTCACGCGTAAGCTTATACAACTTTTCTTTTTTTTGACCAAAGTTGTTGTTTTGAACATCTGTGATTTCGTTTTTAATATGCTTATCTATCGGTAAAAGTATGGTGTACCAACGGCCTTCAGTTCACTAATCAGAATTAAGATAGTACCCCATGTATTTTGCACGAAATTTGTGAATATTTGGTTATTAAAATGCTGGAAACCAATAGAAATATCTATTATACAATCAAAAAGTGGATTTTAAATTATGCTTTACTGAAATTACAAAACATAGCTGCACGTAAGACAGATTGTATGTTAACGTGCTTCATTTGGCTGAATGAGCAATGAAGAGTGTTTAGTGAGGCTAGATAATATTCTCCCACTTTAACTCTTACTCTAAATGTCAACCTTAAATTTCTAGAGTTTGTAAATAAAAGTGTGGCAAAGGATTGCATTGCAGCTTTTGTCAGTTCGTGAGGAAAACCATGACCTTAATTTATATACCTGACTCGAAACTTCAGTCAGCTGATGACGAAAAGTCTATGAGATTATAACCTGAACCGATGGAGGTGAGAACCCTAACTTACAACACTAGCTCTACTCCAAATACGTAAATGTGACCTTTTTCCTTTTCTATAAGGAATAATTTAACATGTGAGTAATAATTATTCAGATCGAAGCTGTTATTCCATTGTTATTTTGTTAGTTCTTATTTTGAATTGCTTTATAGCTAATCAGCGTCTTCTTAGTGGTTGATAAGTAGCCCAATGTTGTCAGTATAAATGTCGATAGAGCGATAAATAGACGGATTTGATCTGAAAAATGTTTTTGCGCTATACATTTCGAACAGTCTATACACACATGTACTCGTTATGGCATCTTATATAAAAATTAACTAAGGTTAATTAGATGAAGGTTCAAGTAAACAGATTAATAAAGGAGAGAGAAAATCATCATGGTAGAGAAAGAAAAGGAAATTGTTGCATTACTATGGGTCATAAAATGACTTATGGAGAACCAGGGTAAATTTAAGATAACGACGAATTGTTTTTGTACACGCAAGGAGGTATAAATTTACGAATAACCAAGGTTTCTAAAACTTGACAATTCGTCCTTGACAATTTCTATACTATGTTTTAAAAGCTATATTTACGATATTGTAATGACTTATGAAGCAGAAAATAATGGCCAATTGCCCTTTTTAGACATACTTTTGAGTTGAAGGGAGGATGGCACTATAAGACAGTCAGTTTCTAGGAAACCAACTTGGACGGGGCAATACTTAAATTCCCACAGTTTCTGTCCATCACAATACAAGCGAGGCTTGATTAAGTGTCTCTTTAATAGGATTCAAAGAATGTGCATCACAGATACAGTTCTGGAAGACGAAAAACTGCTGACTAACACACTAATATCAAATGGTTATCCACTAAAGTTTATAAGTATGTATGTTATTAATGTATCATTTAAACAAAACTGAATGAATTATAGGTATCAATACCCAAGATTGAAATTAGTAGTTTCGAATAAATTGACTATTAGATAGAAAGTTAGTCATATATTATCTTAATGAATAGAAATTTTTATTTCTGACGTTTCGTGACTTATAGTAGGACACTTCTTCAGAGTAAATAAATAAGTTAACGAAATTAATACAAGTTGAAATAGTAGTACAAAAAAACAAAGCTGAATGTTATTATAATCAAAATCAGGTCTGAACATATCAATATCATGTTATTTTCGGTCAATCTTCACTATTATTTATAGGGAGAGTCAATGAAAAGTAGTCTTAAGAAAGGGTCATTTAATTGCAATCAGAAATCACCACCTAAATGTCAAGTGCATTTAATTGAGTCAATGGATCAATTCTCTAAAAATAGAGTAGTAGATATACGAATAAATATTTGTGCATTTCATTCAGTAGTCCAATACACTTTTTCGCTCAAGGGGTTAGCGCGTAACGCACTGTGTATCAGTATTTAGATATCGGACCCCGCACGTCACAATTTTTCATACTCATTATCATCCATACAAATAAATACAGTGATATTTTATACAGAATCAATCACCTTGTGTTACTTATTAATTTACTCTGAAGAAATGAGTTAAATTAAGTTACAAAACATCAGAAATACAAATTTCTTCTCATTGGGATACTACAAAAAGAAATTATTACTATTATTATTAAATTAATTAGTGATTGAGTTGTTTGTTTAGCGTAGAGATAATCAGTTATAGATAGCCATTGAGCATAGTACACAAGGATATAAATCGTGTTTCACTTTGTGAATAACGGAAATTGTGCAAAGTTTAAATGTATGTTTTTCCAAGTTTATTTGAGGTTTTCTAGTGTCGTCAGATTGATTTAAATCTTACATCCACATTTACACTCAGTTCTGTAGACTTTACAGAAAGCTATTACTATGGATATGATGATCAAATAGACTGTTTAAAATAGTATTAATTCTTTCAGTTAAGTCAAATTTATTCATATAATGGTTTGGATTATTCCGTTGTTGATATGTTGACTGAGTTTTGATCAATCTCAGTTTATATATACGTGTCTTTTGCTAATTGTCTTGATATAGCCAATATGATACAATTAAGAAATATAATATATTTGTGATATTCCAGTGAGTAGGATAATCGAATTCGATGAGATCATAATTTATGGACGACTTTTGAGCGACGTTAAAGTGACTTCGAGAGTGTTCACCTAATAACTAGGACCAAATGAGGTTTATAAACTTGTTTGAGGAATTAGATTTCAGGTTTTCATCACGAACTGACATCAGCTATAATGTCAAAAACTCTATTTATCCAAATGGATGAGTGAATTTCGCGTCAAAATCCGAGACCTATTATCTGATACCTGATTGGTTCGTCCAGAATCGGTCACAGTCAATCAAATATGTATGGTAGTTGATAGAGCGAATACTCATATAAACTGATTTGTGGCATAGTGTTGATGTCTATTATGACGAATTAAAATTAATCTTCCTTTACGAGTTTTATAAGTTGTACGTGTGTGTGTGTTACTTTAGTGACTCAGATATTAGATGTACATCTATTGGTGTAATACGATTGAAATTTACTTTAACTAGGAAAATCTAGAGTAGTCAATGTGATTGATGCATCCCCCAGTATTATGTTTCTAAGTTGTATGCTTTTTCTTTATTATAAATTAATAGTATATTGTTTTATGTATTTTTTAAAAATTAATTTTTAGACAACTTCATTCTGATCTCTATTTGAATCGTGAGAATTTTATTCAACTTGGACGAGTATTTCTAGTTAATGCAAAACGTTTCGAAGAGCTCTATGTGGATTTCTGTCTTAATTATCCAAAGTAAGTGTGTTTTTTTTTCAAACAGTTTTCATAATTTACAGTTGGTGTCGTTAAGTCCTTATAAGGACACTAGTCGATTTTCTAGAGTCTCTATATTGTTCCTGATTAGGGTTATGGATTATAATGATTAGGATTAAGGGATTAGGTTTAGGGGTTTTCGATCATCAACTCACATTAGTTGGTACAAAACTTGCTCTTTGACCATTTATATGAATGAACCTCTCAAAAATCCATGAAATACAATGCCAATAGTTTACTGTTTGCTTCAAGATTCCAAGCTCCAGGTTAGAATTTAAGGATAATGTCAATTTTCTTGTTATGTACAGTTTTACAAAGAATTGAGTATTTGATGCATTTTATGATATGGTGGCATTATACTAATATATTTCTACTGTTCCTCCATACCTTGATATTTGAATTTTGTTTAAAAACTTAAAAGTCGTGTTCTCAATTGTGACTAACTCTTCCCTATACTATAATCTTACTATTGAAGCAAGCTTAACTTCAGTGTTCTGACGAGTACCTATACTAGCTATCTGTAAGACAACTGGTTAAAATATACCAAATAATTCAATTATTTCATCTCATTGAAGTCTCCAGCTTCAGTGACTAACAATTACTACTCACAGTAGTCTCCTTACTTCAGGTTTTAATATGTTTGTTTTTCTTATGATGCTGTTTAAATTTCTGTTAACTCGTATTAAAAGTACATCATTTTGTCAACTTCTGTCTTTTGTGGAGCAGGAAGGTTACTGAAATCATACATATAATGACCAGAACTTTAAAAAAGTTTCCATATACTTTTCGCAATGATTCTTCGAAATTGTTCATTGATATTCATCCTATTAGTGTTGTAAAACAAGACAAGGGATCAAGGTTTATTGTGAGAAATTACAAAATGTTTTGATAATACGTATACATAGCCCTCGGCTATCCATCTGCATCTTGTGGTCTGTTTTTCTGTGCAAATTGTCTTCTCTTTTGGTCTTCAAGTGCGTTCAGCTGTTGAATTTTCTCACATGTTGTTTACTAGATTGATTTAAATTAAGACCTCCAGTTTAAGCCGGTGAAATCAATTGATCACCCCTCGTCTTCTGTATAGAAATAAAGAACATATCATGAATAATTTTCATTTCTCTCACCCCTCTCCTTATATTTCATACATTCTGTTGCGGTTGATTACTGCGGTTTATTTTTGGGGATTATGCAACTTTTTACGGTGTTCCAGCCGTGTTAAGGTTGTCAAGCCCTATCCAGTGACGCCGAAAGGCTTTTCGGGGAATGGTTTCCGTTTCACACGGTTCAATAACCTATCGCATTTGGGGTGTACTTAACGTAAGCAAATGTACGTTGCATGCACGCCGGTAGCACACAAGTTTTCACTCATGCATCCCATGGTGCACATACAAATATATTCACCCACTTGAGAGGGCAGTTGGTCACCTTTCCCTTCGTACGACTGACTGTCACTTATGCATTTATTGCGTATCACTGTTACATCACTTACATTCCTGTTGAGAGTCCGGCGCGTACCCTTTGAATATACCTACATACACAACTAAACATGCCGAGAATCATGCAATTCATATACATAAGCATACACATCGAGCAGCCCGCAAAATTTAAGAACCTCGACGTTAGAGGCCCCAATGAATCCGTTTTACTACAGATTGGGAGATTAGTCCATTCTCTCCGACCACCCAAGTTAGATAGCAAGGTTTCTTCTACCACTCAGCAGCACCGCGGAGAGGCCTTAGGTCAGATTCTGCTCTACACAATTTTGTCAGTTTTTCGTTACTCTAACTTGATTTTCGTCGCTAGTGTGTGTGTGTTTGTTTTCTTGTCCATCAAAATATCTGTGAGTGTGTGTATGTTTGAAAGCCTAATCAATGCCCGAACTAGTTATTTGAAGTTTGCCTAAATTCTTTATATGATTAAGATTATTTTTCTGGAAAATATTTGTTTGTATTTATTTGTATTGTTCATTGGATTGTATTTTCCTGTATACAGAATCTATAAAATAGAATTATTTTAGGCCAAATTGCTTGTCTTAATAATATTCTATATGTAAACATTTAATTGAATAAAATAGTAATTATTTTTTTTGTTAACCTATTATTATTATTATTATTATTATTATTATTATTATTATTATTATCATTACGATGGAATCATTTCTTATTCTAATGAAGGTTCCCTTTACAAATCACTTCTAACCGTAACTAGGTAGATACCATCGAAATTAATTTGTAAATTGTATTTACTTATTGTTATTCTTTTTTATTGTTTCTTTTATATTTTGCCTTTCTCTCTTTTTTATTACAAACAAAAACTTATCGACTAAACTAACTGACGGACTGTCAACTAAGCTCAGCATGAACACATCTATGACCAATTAGAATAAGTTGTCAAATTTTTCGTCTAGTTGTTTCGACTTTTTTTGTCTACTCCTTATTGATCGATTTTAGCATATACAAGGTCAATTGATGTTACCTATTGCATTTCGATTGATCAGATTTTTCATAAGGCTTTTATCATTTATTTTTTTTACTGGTGAGGGTTTGCGTGTAGTGTTACCACGTGACTAACGAACGAGTATACTAAATGGTGTATCAGGCGAGACTATAAATTATAGATGACTTTTGAGCGATGGGTGAGACTATGCTCTACTGACGGCTTTAATCAAATAATAAAAATTAAGCAAACTGATTATCGAATTAAAAATGCTGTTACGGATAGCTTGTTGATATAACTCATAGTTTTCATTTTATTTCACATTTCGGAAGAATTATATTATGTTTTCCTTGTCGAATGAGCTGTTAATGTCAGTATGCTTGTATTAGGAATGTTATGGTTAGGAGTTTAGGGGTTAGGAGCTACGGTTAAGGAGTTTTAGGGTAAGGAGTTAGGGTGAAGATGAAGGGTGTTAGTGTTGAGACTTAGTGTTAAGGAATATTGGGGGAACTTCAACCACCTACTGCGGTCGAAATGGGGTCATGGTTATAAGTTAAGATTAGGAATTAGAATTATGTTTTTCATTACTAATTTACATCAGCCATAATTCTAAAATGTAACTTACCCATATGAATGAATGAATTCCGTGCCAATCCAAATCAAAGACTCGCGATTCTAAATCTGATTGACTCGTCCATAAATTATATTCTGTCCCTGATCCAGAGGAATAGTTAAATATATGTAGTAACTATTTATAACTTATCAGGTGCTTCAGATACAAATTCATGATTTTTGTATTACCATTAGCTAAAGTAAGAAATGGATAAATGACGGTAGAGAACATTGGCAGCTGTCGACTTAAGTCCAGAAATACACTACCAACCACTGGTTGTCCAAATGATTTCATCAAAACGTATTTGTTGGAACAAAAAAATGGGTCAGACGCCGATACAATATATTTAACCTTTATGTCTTTTCATGACCCCCCACCCCACGAGTGGGTCATCACTTACTGTAAACTCTTACCTATGTAATCCTCCCTTGTATTTATGGTTATGTCTACCTTGTCCTGTTTTTAATTTACACATTGACCTTTCTCAATTCATATAAATTTCTTATCATAATTGCTCTGATAACATCTCTTTTATTAAAGATTATATTCACATGGCATAGTAATAATAATAATTATTTTCTCAATTAACTCTATAAAGAATTTCACCCACTATTTATTTTACTCACATAATTCATTTTCTTATACTGATTATGGCTGAACAACTCACAACGAATTGTCCTACACTTGTTTTAATCACCTTGCTTATTTAATAATGATTATTTTGGTGTATGTAGGTTTTTAACGATGCAAAAGTTCGCTATTTCAATGAATAACATTATCTAACTCACTTAAGGATGCCTTATTTTGGCCATCCCAATACGATTATTTTGTTAAAATCACGAAATGACTTATGCCCGCCATTGAAATCTGTACGCGGGGATCGTGAATGCTCACAGCTGAAAAGTCTCATATTAAGACGAAATGGCCATTGAGTGCCTTGTCAATTTTTATACTAGTCTAACTTAAATGATTTCACGATTTCAGTGAAATTCGACAGTCTTCACAACCCTGGAGCTCCTCTAGGGTTGCTGCCGGTCCGAAGCCTGGATAAACGAGAAGGATTGGCATGGGATCAGCAAATTTATTCTAGGAAAACGCTTTAAAATGAATTTGTTGAAAAGCATTTCTTCGTTGAATAAATTGTATGGTTTATTGGGTATATGTATATGACATTATTAGATTAATAAATTACATTTGTTTCGGGTTATTGATGACTTTATTAATGTAAGTACACTATCAACTCATAGTACACAAACGATTGTAAATTAGCTGGTAACATTCATTTAAACTCATTCAGGAATTAGAGGAATTAAATAATTATATATGAGGAAAACTTGGAAGAAAAATACCTGAAGATATACTTAATTATATTCTTTCTTCATTTGTCAATTCGGTTGTTGGTTTAATTTCTCGAACTATAAGTATGGTTAGACAGATGTACAAGATTTCGCAGCGTGTTCATCATTATTGCTCATATTTCTTAGCTGCTGAATAGTTTTTTAATTATGATGTAATTAGAGTAAATCTGAAATTACACTTAAAAGAATGTTTCATATAGATCATTCAACCGTGTAGGTTCGCGCAAACTGTGTGTATTCCTACTTCTGTTAATTTAATTTCAAGTATCCCCTAGTGGAAATTTCATCGTTCTTTGGTAAATAATCCATTCACTTCATTTATGGAGCAGTTATACATGAAATTCTTCAAAAGCATTAGTTATTTTCTCTGGAAAGTGATGTTCACATCTTTTGAAAATTATATTCTTATGTGGAGTTTGATATCGATCCACTGAGTTGCTATCACAACCTAATCTAATATACCTTTTCATATAAACTTGAAGTGGCTTTTAAAAATGAGTTTAATATCATAACTGTTGAGGGTTAATAAGTTCCCGGTTGCTGTCATATTTTGTTCCTGGATATCTTCAGTAACAACATCAGTAGTAGTAATATGCATTCAATTGTTAAATTCTGTCTATTTCTCAGAGTATTCAATCATGAATAGTCATTGAAATTTGATGTACTGTATTTGTTAACTGAAATTTTTAGATTGGATTTTAGTCAGAACTGTTTCCAATTTTATATACATGTTCATATCTTTATTCATTGAGAAGTTTCATGAATCATTGAAGATAGGAAATATGTACATTGTTCGTAAAGTATGTTTCTTTTCTTTTTCTCTTTGAAATAAAAACCCTACTCAGAACTATTCGTTTGCTTGAAGAAGCCCAAAAATCTCGTACAGATATTTGGATATGTCTTAACAATTGTCAGTCAGAATTACAACATCAACTTCCTCTTGCCACATATCTTCTCAAACCAGTACAACGTATACTCAAATATCAATTATTTTTACAGGTAATTTAGTGATTATTTTAAATAACGTAAATTAATATATTTCTTACATGACCAAGTACTCAGTTGGTTGCATATGTTTCTTAAGATAATCAAACATTTATTGAATCAGTACTCTATTCATTCTTTTCAACTATCCATGTTATTTAGGCTATGGTACACTTTGAATTTATTACAAAACGAGAGGTAACATTTTAAAAATTAGGGTTACATTATTTGAAAAGACGTAATTCATAAATTATTTCAATTGAATATTTATCACAGAGTTGCTACACAACACGTTCGGGCATAATGTCAACGGGTGGGGGGTATGTTATTATTGTAGTGTGTTGAGAAACCATTTTATGCGTTAAAATTGTAGAAGAGAACTTAGTTGATTAGATTTACTATTTTTGTAGGTGGTGGTATGGCCTAGCATTGACTGTAATATTACATTATGATATTGATGTGAAAACAAAAAGAAAAACCGTTCTTGAATTGTGTTGAGGACAGATGAACAGCCCATTTATTCTTAAAGTAGCTGTATTATCTAGTCCGAGTGTTGATTAGCTCGTCTGGATTTTTGTGTGCAGGATCAATGACTCAATTACAGTGAGACAACGACTGAAATCAACACTTCATGCCTATTGATCCAGGATGCATTTCCCCCTTCTTTCTTGTCCGACTGACGGAACAGAACAGGAAACACATCGGACAAATAACCTCCATTGTACGGGTTCATTCATAAATCAAACTTGTAGGGCAATATCGGTTAATTCCCAGGCCACATACCTACCTAATTAAGAAATTATAATATGTGCATAACTACTCCATAAATGAAACAGTATAGGGTCAATAATAACTTACAGAAGGTGAAACATAGAACAATAGTTTAGGCATTAAATGAAAGCTTACAATCAGGACAATAGAAGAGTGCAGTAATCTAAGTGTCTAATAAAATTATTATTAAATAATCCTTTGTAAGATAATCCAAAAAGTTAAATCTTCACAATATTCAGCTCATTATAGGAGATATTTAATTGATGTTTTGATCTCCGTTCATCATTTACAAATCAGTATTTTTTTTTTTGGTTATTTATTGTTTTCGGTACCACTATTGACATAGAAATTCTTCGTGAAGAGGAAAAGTACTGTGATCACATTTTTTGTCATTCTGTCCCTTATTTATCTAATTAGTTCTTTTTATTTTATTTACTTTCTGTTTTCTTTTTATTACAATTAGGAATGTGTCAAACATTTAAGTCAAATAACAACAGAACTATTAAATTCGAAATCATCAGTACCAGGTAGAGATTTATCGATTAGTAACACTGCAGGTCTTTCAGAATGTAACAATAATCAGAATAATGATGTATTGTTGGAGTTTTTCAATCATTCTATTTGCGCATTAAGACAAGCATTGGAATGTATGATTCAAGTGAGTGGTATAATTTCACTAGATATACATTGTATGTAATATATTTTATCATTTCTAAACGATCTTTTATACCTCTTATTTGCGTATTAAAATGACTGCACTTATCGCTGTACAGTTTCACGTAATTGAGTTATTGCTATGTTGTGTGCTGTACTTCCTATTCGTGAGTCCAACTAGGTACTGTGGTGAGAAAACTGAGAAGGAAGCATTTATTATCTGAGTCGAGTTATCACTTAGAAATTAAAACCACGTTTTCTACCAATAGGGCGTCTTACTCTTTGAAGAAGGAAGCCTTATTTTGGCCAGTAACATGCGCTTATCATTAGACCAATGTCTGATTGGTCCACTGTATTGGTTATTAACTTTTTATTTTAGACTACTTAAGGAACTTTAACGCCTTAATTGTAAACAGAATACATTATTAATTTATGAGTGACGATTTACATATTTTTCCAAGAGCTTTATTTTAATGTAGATAGGTATATCTTACGGACAAGTTCCATATAGTGCGAGACCTAGATCCAGGGTTTACTATCGTCTACCTTCAACTAACTGACATCTCAACGTTGTCTATATGATGTCGAGTCATTTAGACTGGTGGCCACATTTCAACTTGGTCAAAATAATTCAATGAACACTAGAAAGACTAGATGAACATGACATTGCTGTTTATTTCCTGTCTTTGTCACCATCCTTCACTTTCGATCATATGCTTCAGTTTGAATCTAGATTTTCAAAAAAAATATTTAAACACAAACATTGATACAAAGAGGCACCAAAATATGTATGCGCCATAATGATCATTGAACTTGTGTGTGGGCTGGGTTTATTGCGTGGTCGCCCAAACCGAAGCAGGTTGTTTTTTTCAGGGTGATACTCCCCGAGCCTTTGACCTAGAGATCCAATCCACTAGTTAGTGAACGAACACTTGGAGATGGGGGCCCTATGGTAGCTGGTGATCAACGGTGGGTTCATATACCCCATTTGTTCCTCCAAGATCCTGGACGTCAGGTACACCATTGGTTTGGAACCAGGACTTCCTGGCTCTCTTAGGTGCGTGATGCGTATCCAATTACCTGGTTTAAACGCCGGTCACTCACTTTTCGTCCTCTCAATTTCGTAAACGACACCGCTACGAGAAGCCAGTGAGCAGGACCTTACTGTCAGTGGCTATATATGCGTGGACATATGAGAGGATTTCAAGAGAGAAAGCCGAATGTCCCCATCTTCGACCGTATCAGGGCTATATACTCAAATTAATTGTAGACGGATTTTGCTGATAACAATTAAGTTGGTTATGTTGTTCGTTTACTGAGTAGTGAGTAACGTTAGTTTAGATGGTGACGTTTTGTAGCAGAATACAACTGAAGCTAAACTAAATAAACCATTTATTTGACTGGAGTCTCTGTACTTGAAACAAATGAGTGGAGTCTCCATCACTATTAGGACCATTAACACGCTTTATACTGCGTTGCTTTTTTGTTAAGTCTTTCGTTATCCGACCACAAATACATCCTTATTACTTAGTATTCTTTGTACATTGCCTCATTCGACTAGTCTTCAAAATATTCAAAATAAACTAATTTGAATGGAAGTAAGTCATAAAAGGAAAAGCATTCGTATATTTGTGATTTTACACAAGAAGGTTCAAGAGTCCATTAATACTGATCAACTAAGAATAAGTCCCAACACAATCCTGCATGGGATTTAATCCAATCTATGCCCTATTAACACTTTTCGTTAGTCTAAATAATCTACGTATTGACGCCTCAATTTTTCAACGTTACATATTCTTACCTTTGTATTCGTACATATGTAATGTTTATACTTATGTAACTGGTTGATGGTTTCAGGTGTGTGATCGATTTTTATTCAGACTAGCGACTGGACAATAAATAATCCGCTTTAATTTTATAATACACAGTCTCCTTTTAATGTGTATAATTAGTCCCCACTCCCACTTATTCATTATTTTGGCGCCTCGATTTCTCCAAAATTGTTGAAATATAACATTTAAGCATTAACTCATCACCGCCACCATTAAACAGTGTTATTATTATTATTATTATTCAGCCAAGATTAGTTGAGAAATAGGATTTTTCATTACCATTCTTGTAAATTATATTTATTAGATTATTTGTAGAACAAGAAAAAATGAAATAACGAGAATACTGCAGTAAAAATATCATTACTTAATAATTTCACTTTTTGGGAAACTGTGAGATCACAGGTATATATATATATATATATATATATATATATATATATATATATCAGTGTGGAGGTTTCGTAAAAACTGTTGAGTACCATTACGTTAACGAACTGATTTAAATTAGACAACCGTTAAAAAAAAAGCAACGAACATCTGTTTCGAACTAGCATGGCATATGTAGTGATGGGCGATACCTGAAATCTGATATTAACACACAACGCGCTATGCGTAAACCCCTCCCCTCAAACTGACTCAGTCAGTTATCTACAACGTAGGATCTCTCACATATATGCAACGGTTCAAGTTGCGATGCCTCAATAACACAACAAGATGATTACCAAATTCATAAAAGCAGTTTTTTTAGTGGTAGTAATATATAAAAGATTGTGTATAAGAATATAGTACAAGAAGAAAGAATTAATTCGCAGAAAAAAAGTACCTCGAAGAGATGTAATTTTCACGGTTGACTAGCTCCTTCTCCACTTGTTCCTGAAATATATTCTTAACTTTTCCACCATGGAGTTGGACTATGAGGGGTTTTATTGCTATGGCCCCAAATGCCCTGGTACGGCCGAGAGTGGGGAAAGTCCGCTCTCCCTCTCGAAATGCTCTCACATGGCCATGCGTATATAGCCTCTGCCAGGGAAGTCCTACTCACTGCCTTCTCGTGGCGGGGGTGTTGTTTACAAAAATGAGAATACGAAAAGCGAATGTCTGGCGCTTTAACCGGACCCCAAACCAATGGTGCACATGGGCTGGCTCCAGTACTCTGCGGGAACAAATGGCGTATGAACCAATCGTTGGTCACCGGCTACCATGGGACTGCATCTCCTTACGATGCTCCACTGCCTTGTGGATCAGATCTTCAGGTTAAAGGCTCGGGGTGTGGCCCCCTAAGAAAACCACCTGCTTCGGTTTGGGCACCCGGGCAGTATCACAGCCCTCACACAAATCAATTGAGATGTGTGGCGCATATGTATTTGGTGCCTCCCTGTACCTATACTTATGTGTTAAAATAAATAAATAAATATAAATAACGTTCAGTAAGACTCAGACAAATACGTACTTGAAATAGAGCATGATCTGAGTCTAAATATATGTTCCAGAATGAGCGACAATCTTCAACCGAGTCCTCTAACGATGACTAGTAGAAATGTTATGTTGAGTCTGCTGATGAGTCGATTGTGGAGGTCACCATGTCAGACGATGTTTCTCCTTATGCTTAAAGTTGGTGTTTGACAGAAATAGACAGTTATCTAAGCACAGTTGCAACAGACGGTCGCAATTATCTGTCCGGTCTATGCTTCTCCACGAGAAGTAACAAGCATAAATAAGTAATTAAGTAAGTGGACTGCCTGATTGTCTTTCGATTTGGTTTAATTTATCTATTTGAGCATTAAAATCAACTGCTACTATTACATCAGAGAGTTTGGATTTTTGAAGGAGGTTGGATAGCTTATAAAATTCATCTGTAATTTCGTCCGAGCTGTAACCAGCAGGAGCGTAAACAGAGACAACAGAAAGGTAAATGAGCATGTTTATTAATTTTTCGAGTTTTTACTGCCCCACTTAATCGGACTGCACCTAAGCGACTGTTAACGGGGATCTATTCTAAAAGTGTTTGTTCTGCCGTCATACTCAATGCTATGCCTGCACTCGTCAGTCCACGAGAATTTGTCGTTGGGTTGCCAGATAAACAGAGGGGTATCTCGTCGGCTCCCCTTTTTGGCTAGGTGAGGTCAAGTGAATGACCACACTAGGATCCTGCATGCGCGTTTCGTAGACACAATGTACATCAGTGGTTCGGGATTCTAGGGTCTAAGCCGAGGAGGTCTGCTGGCCGACTTGACTTGGGTACGTACGTTGAAGACTCCAATGTATAGTTTGGAGTGAGGTTTCAGTGGACCTGGCATAGTATTTCGCGCACTAGAATCGTTGGCCATGGTGACACTTGAGCGAGAAGACAACAATGGAGCAGGTCTTTTAAGCTACCGAACAATGTGCATAAATACTCATATATATATATATATATATATATATATATATATATATATATCCCTTAGAAAATGAATCCATTTCTTAGCCAATGATGTGCAGTTGTCCTTCGGGTCATTTCTGGTTGTTCTTAAGTGACCTTATTTGCCTTCTGATTTGCTCACTATATCCGGACCTTTCATCAGTGTGCATTCACAACGCCATCACGGTTTGAACACAGATCAGTAGTTTGTAGCATAGACCCTTCGTGCTATATTAAAGCTCCTGAGGTCAATCTTTCAAGGGGTCGTGAATGTACTTTGCTAAAGAATCCCCTATTCAACTGACAGACGCTCCCTAGTTTTCACTGGTTAGATCGATTTGTGATTTCAGTATTATACAATTTATATTACATTGTTAATCTATTTATCATTTAATAATAATAATAATAATAATAATAATAATAATAATAATAATAATAATAATAATAATAATAATAATAATAATGGAATATAATTAAATAAAGTATAATATGTATTTTATTGCTTCTCTTTTGTCATTGTTTTTGTATAGGTCGCAGATCATATCAATGAACGTAAACGTTATCGTGAATTATTAGATCAACTTCGGATTACCCGATTAGATGTAGATAATTGGGGTGATCTTGTATTACATGATCATTTTCGTATACCGGGTAAAAAAGACCTACGTCTTGTTCTCTTGTTTCAGTGTGCACTTATCCTATGTAAATATACACCGCCTATATCTTCATCCGGTATCAGTTTGTCAACTTCCCAGTCTATAACTATCAATGATTATTGGAGCAATACAGCTAATGTAATGGCAACTAAAACAATGAAATCACGCGGTGCATCAGATAGGATATTAGGAAATTCTAGTCACATGGTTTCAAATGTTAGATCGATCGAAATACGTGAAGTGATTAGTGTGAGTTTATGAAATAGAAATTGGCTTATTGTCCCAATTTTTTATTCTAAAAATTCCTGGATCTAGTTCAACTAAGCTTTCAAAAGATATAACTTAGAACAAATGTCTATATCTTGCAGGGTTTGTTTTTCGAAGGTTGAGACGGAAAATGAATGCCATTTGAAATTTATGCAAAACTCTGTCGTCGTTTTTCATGAGAATACTGTATTAAATACTAGAAAAACGTACCAAATGTTAATCGCGTCAGTTAACTGATGACAGGATTGTATCGAAGAGATATGTATCTTTCGACACACACAATTTACTTTGAAATAGTTAAATTTCTACGTATATCGTTCATAATTACTTCATGTTGTTTAGTAAAACCGATGTTTCCATCAAACATGCCTAGAAAAATTCTATGTGATCCCATCGACCTGGTAGTTTGACTATAGAGCAAGTTCTTTCTAACTTCTTTTTTCTACCTTTGAGGTATCAGTTGAATACTTTTCACCCTATTATTACCTACATCAGAAATTTTTTTAAGATATTAGAGTATGGTGTATTTAAAATCTACTCTTTCTAACTCATCCTGTTTGTTGAAGGACAGAAACTCAGGAAATACCTTTATCAGATCTCAGTTCAGTTGGGAGTCCTTTGGACCTCAACCTCAATTGTACTTCGATTATGCTACTGTGCGACTTATATTGTAGACGTAATAGTATCTCAGAAAGCAAGTGTCTCAATCAACACTGCTTAAAAGATTAGTTCGACCAGTGTCAAATTAGTGTTTGTAGTCGAAGTAATGATTTTATTTTATATAATTCCATTTGAATTGCAATGTTATCTAACACTAATGGATAAGAAATGCCCTAACCAATCGTTTTCACCTTAAGCTCCAAATATGATTGACCTAATATTTTGTTAAAATAAATCACACTGCTAATCCACTGATAGTCATTACCGACTAGCTTGAATCAAAAATGACTTTCAAGTATAACTAAACAATATTGTAGGATACTGTCAGTTCAACAACTTTTAAATAAATATTTTTTGATATTTAATATTTTGTATTTTAATTCACGTGAAGTGAGTAGTGAATCTTCACCAACTGAAGTGGTCTGTACTTGTATTATGTATGCTTAGCCAACTGCCCTAACCTCAATGCTCTGTGTTGGTTGGTGTAAGGGAGGTAGGTTGAAAATCAGAGGAAGTCAAACTTAGATGTAATCAGTCCATGACGTCATTGATCGCTAGGGAGTGTCGTGTTTATAGGTTCGAACTGTCTGCCTTGAGTTCCAAGCGATAACTTGAACTAGCGTTTGGCCATGTTAAGTGAAACGGGTTGAAATCTCTCGCAGTGGTGTAGTTACATTATTTCTTATCGTTTTTTTGTTAAACCGTGAATTTATCCCTTCTTCATGATTCATATTCATTAGTTCTAATGTTATGTCCTTCTGTCCTTTGGTTGAATATAGTTTATTTGTATCTTATTAATGATGTTTCACAATTGTTTTTTAATATTATAATGATAAATGGAGCAAACCTTTGACCAATATTTTAGAGGTTAGCACCTCACTCGATCTTCTTCGAACTGAGTAGCCTGGTAGGTATTTCTACACTGAACACAAAATGTGGTTCAAAGCCCAAATAAATTAACCTGTACTTGGTAAATGAGTTATCAGTCGTTCATGTTGCCTCACCATATATTTCTACAACTGATAATTATGGCTGTTGTATCTTGAGGATTAGAAGTTATTAGATATTTACCCGAGGTCGAATAAAGGCAAAATATTGTTGTAACATTTATATATGAAAACTTATTAATTCTAAGCGGTTCTACAAGTAATAATTAGTTCGTGATAAACTCACACTTTAGGCAGTGAACAACATTAATCAAATCTCAACACAAAAATGATCACTTCGACATGGCCACATATGGACTTCATCAACCATAAGAAAAGTTAGTTAAACCAGTAACCAATGAGATATGGGAATTATTTTCAGTTACTCATAAGTAATATAGTCGCAATATACAAATTTCATGCTAGGTTTATGTGAGACATCGCTTGAGTTGATACCAAAGGTCACCGTGTGTTCACTTTTTAACCTTCAATGATCATTAAAAGTTTTTGGATCCCAACTTCAGTATTCATCTGAATTTTTCTTGATACCCATATCCGTTTTGTTTTTTTCATCTGTTATTTTTCAGGTGCGTGTATGGATATGTATACTTGTTAGGATATTGTACCGTTACACGCTTTCGTGATTCATTCTAGCTTTAGGAAAAACTTTAATAACTGAAATACAATGTGACTATTGGGTTGTTTTTATCGTCCTAATAACTGTATTCTTTTCATAGAAGATTCCAATCTTACCCAATGCCTGTCTCGTTGCACTACACTTTATCTATTGCAAGCCATATTAACGCTTGCAACTAATCATATTTTGAGTTGGTACATCTACCTATTCCAATTCTTATCTTACTGTCTGTCTATGTATTTTACTACCTGAAACAGATTGACCCAAATCAATTCTATTACATCATCATGTTTATTCCTTGTTCATAGGTTCACACGGGTCTACTACTTTGACAAAAAAATTTCTTATATATTATAAATATACGATTGTACAGCTTGATAACAAATTCGTTGAAAAGAGATCCCTTCGCTAAAATTCGTGTTTTCAATTCGTACTTGTCCTTTATTATCACTTTCGCAGAAACGGAATTATTCTAAGTAAAATATATGAGATCAAGCATAGAATTCATGTTCATTATTGGTACCTTCGTCAAATGAAGGTTATTAAAATACTCAGTTAATCAATTAATCAACCCCATTAATCAGTTGATTATCTTTAATCTAATTAATCAATTAAGTTAATTCATAATCACAATCACTATTTACAATAATTTCTCTCCTTGATTTTTATTAGTGTGCTAATTTAATGCTAGTTGAATGTATCGACAAAGATCCATTAGCATTTCATATATTACCATTTGATAATCCTAAAGCACAACGTACTCTACAAGCAACCAATTTAGAAATTAAACGTTTATGGTGTCGTGAAATAAAACGTTTAATATTAGAAAATTATGATGCTGCTATTCCGGAAAGAGCGAAACAAATTGTACTTAATATGGAGGATTTAACTTATGGTCCACCTATTAAAGATGTATCTGATCTACCTATGAGTTTATGTAATTTACAACAAGTTGGAAAAAATGATTTCGAAGAAGACTGCTTAAATCAAAATTGTTCAAATGATCGAGTACATCGTAAGAGTGATACAGCTCTTCCAGGTGAGTGGTTTTCGTTATTTTTCGAAAAAGTGAATTCTAATAAATGTACTATGATTCATTTGTATTATTTGTTTAAATCTTCTCACTGCTGTTTAAGATTGCAATTGATCAATCTCTTATTAAAATAAGTACATTCTGTGCGGATTACCTCGATATCGCCAATTAAGTCACAAGCATTGTTAGCAGAGATAGATGGGTAACTAACAGTGGAATCCAGGACGCATGTTTCGTTCTTTTTTGGACTCGTCAGCTGGATATACCTATATCCAAGAGTTGATGTTCACTTCAGTAAAGAGACTGATAAACTGCAGTCCTAAATAACAATATGGAGATTAAAATAAACAATATGAATGAATAAAGCATTCACTTTATTGCACTAGTCAATGATTGTAAATTAAGCGAATGGTATGGGGTCTGAGTCTCATAGTGAACATCGAATCTCGGATATAGATATATCCAGGTGATAAGTCCCAAATAAGCCAAAACACACGTTCTGGATTCCACTGCTAACCACTGTCATTCTCTGCTTGAAAAATTGTGCTATGATTATTTCACAAAATGTTTGAATTGCAGACATTGCTTTTTAATAACTTATATAGTCTCTATTCCTAATTATAGCGAACATACTGGGTTAGTAGCTATCACTAGAAACCGGTAACTTATTCTATCCACAGACGAGACTTGCTATCTAAATACTTTTACATCTATACTGATTTGTGATCAAAATTGTGTTCTAAATTCTCTTACTAGCCAGAAGCAGATACAGTTCTAGCATAGTCGTGGTCGAACTTGAAGTGTTCATATACGAAATGAAGTTTGTTAACGAATGTCTACAGAAATGAACGCTTACCGATTCTTATACAAATTATGAAGTTTACTTTTAAGGAGGTTTATAGCTAAGGATATCATAAATTATCCTGTTTTCTTAATGAAATGTCCAATTTTTTCTCGTGACATTAATACTCAGGTTCAATCTTTCTTATTCAACTTTTCACATGAACTTTGGCGTTTTCTGATTGGTTGTTACTACTATTAGTTTGCTAATTTTTCATGTGCTTCGGCGTCATATTTTCGTCACCATATGTACAAAGTAGCATTGTTTGAATATGAAGTTATCCTACACACCTACCTACTTCTTGTTTGCCTTTGGGGTATGATGTGCCAGTTTCCGTTCTGTTTAGCCCGCTGTGGAGTGCAGTTGTACCAGAATATTCTCAAACCCGTAGAGTAATTAGCAGGTAATTTAGACCAATACCTAAGCAGTCGCAATACTTTACAGTTATATTACTCATTCTACGGTTTAGTCCCAGTGACGATAATTCAATCGGTATGACCATCTTGAAACATCGACTTCAGTGGTTTGGACATCTTTCACGAATTTCACCCTATTCAATTCCACATCGTGCACTATTCGGCGACGTTGGGACTGGTTGGAAAAGTTGAGGGACAGTCGGTTTATGACAGAGTACTGGGGTGTAAAGAAAAGCTGTTCAGGATTGAAATCTGTATGTATGAGAGGGAGAGTTAAAATCTCTCCATGTTACACATTCCAAACGACAGGAAAGTTTTCATTACCTCAAATGTTAAGTTACTGTTTTTGGCACTCTCATTCTTGTGTATTCTGTTACGTTGTGTGTTATAGAGGAGAATTTTATTATTATTCACTTTAATTACCATGTTTGGTTTACTTAGTGTATGTGGTCATTCGTTAACTGATTTATTTTGTTTAACTTGGTCTGATATTATGTCAGGTGCCTTATTGATTGACGGATTCTGTTTGCTATTGTTCGAGTTTGTTGGCAGAACACTACTTCTTGCTTGGTAGGAACACCTTTACTCTGACAAGTAACTAGTTTAGTATCGCTTAACGATTTATATAATAGATATTTTATAAGCTGATTACGTCGAGCCTCTTGAATTCAATTCTGACTGTAAAACGTGTTCGAAACACTGGACGGGTATCCTGTGTATTTTTTATGTTTTATACTTGTCTATATGCAAGAGATGGATGGTGTCTAATAGGATGAAATACACATCCTGGATTCTACTGTTAGCCATCATCCATCTCTGCTTACAATGCTTGTGAATTGATGTTAGTATCGAGGCAATCCGCACAGGATCTACACATGCTAATAAGAGACTGATCAATTGGAGTCGTAAACAACAATGGGAAGATTCAAACAACCAATAGTAAAATGTATTATAACTAATGTTTGTCTTTAAAAGATAAACTATACTTTAATTTTTACATGACATAATAATATCATAAAATTATATGAACAGATTATTTAAATTAATTAATTAAAATAATCATAACAATAATTCAGAAATGGTAATTACAACTGGTATACGGTAGGTCAACCCAGCTTTTTACTTTTTTGGATCAACTATTGACTTTGGATAAACAACTTAATCGATACGCAAACATTTACAAAATGTATAAAAATGACTGTGTCAATAAGGTTTAAGTTGGTTATATTTTGTTCTTGGTTACTCAATGGGACAAGTACATATTGTGGTTATGCATGATTATATTAGGGGTATAAATGCTAAGTGAGCGTAGGATCCATAGAGCTTCAGAACTTGAATGGATTAAATATAAACTAATTTAATCTGAAATATAAACTTCAACCTTCTAGGAGTTACGAAATCTATTATATATACAATCAGTGTGAATTAGCTTGGAAGAAACAACTAGGACGGATTGACTGCAGAATTAAACCATTAGGATATACATACTGCATGATTGGCTAATGTCAGTAAAATATCCATGATCTGTGTAAGAGATGCTAGAAGATATGGCTCGAAGTTGATTGCAGTAGCACACTTGTATTCATTCTCCGTTCCCCCTGTATATCTTGATTTTTAATATTGTTCCTAACTATATTGTCCTAGGTTTCGTATAATGTTTAGTTTTTAACTATCATTGATATGAAATACAGCGATTTGGGTCATTACGAACTCACCGACTATGACTATCTGCTCTATTGAAGTGAGATGTAACAACTTTAGGAGATGAATCAAGTCTCATATATCGATAGTTGCAGTAGTTATGGTGGTAGTTGTCATGTCCTACACTAATATGATTGAGGAATACTTAACTGATTTATGCTTAAAAACTGAGAACCTGACTGTAATGACGCGTAGTAAAAACCAAAGACTAGTGATACTGATATATCCGGACAAGAATAAATGAATGGTAACTGTTAGGAATTACTTATGGACTAATATTATACGAATATCTTTATTGCATAACCATTAAGTGACTATAACTTATGTATATTCATATTTCTTTCATTATAAGCTTTTATTTGACCTATTGACTATTATCATACGATCTACTATTCTTGAGATATTCCCAATTTATTAGTCACAGTCTCTCACAATCACAACCACTTTTGGCTTGATCTTGTACAAATGTTATCTATTTTATGGTGTGATGCGGTTTGGTTTGTTTGTGTATAAACCCAATATGTCTGAAATATATAATTCGTATCTCGGAGGCTGATATTAGCGGTCTGGTTTGTACTGGCTAAGTTAAGAGAGAAGCTATTATCTTGGTGGACCAATAAGAACTCTAAGCTCGTACAGGTTTATGCGTCATTAGTCTGATCTGATAAGTCGGTGTCTCTAATTGGCGGTCGTATCACAAGAACATGACATATATGGATTTATTCGATGCTCAAAATAAATCAAAACGATGTATGAATACACTATCTTTTTAATTAATTTTTGTACAGCCAGATCAATGAATTGTCATAATTTGACTGAGTTATATTTAACGTATTTATTCACAATATCATATTGCTCTATTGATACTGTCATATCAACAGTTAATGTCGTTAACTTCTTCAATCATTTGACTTATGAAAAAATATATATTCAAAGTATTTCCCATCATTATCTTTAGGTCTTCGAAGCTTTCTTAATCGGCAAACAAACAAACACTCAATTTATTCAAATTCAATTCACACACCTAATCTATCGTTGAATAATAATATCAATGAATGTAGAATACCTTTATTAGAAAATGGTTGTATGTTGAATGGCAAGAAAAACGTTATCAGTGATAAAGTCTTACCATCTGATGAGGATATTAATAATTCAACTGATAGACATCTTGATTCATTACTACATGAAGCCTGGGAGGAAATATGGGCTAAACATCAGCATTCACCAGTTAAAACAACTTTTGCAAATGGTCAGTCAGATTCTTTGGAAAACGGTAATCTTCATCATTATCATCAGGATAATTGTAAATTGGACACAGAGGATGTTTGTTCATCTCCTTCAGCAGTAACAACAAAAGCAAATAATGATGCAGACTTCCGGTGTATTGCTGTAGAAATTAATGAAGAGAAATTCGGTCTTTTATCACCTGTCATTGTACCAACGTGTACTGTTAATGAAAATAAAAAATACTCAGTATCTTCCCTATCTAAATTAAATACAGATTCTTTAAATTGTGTAAATAATTCAGGTAAATATAACTATATTTATTAAAAGATTTCAATCATTGATCACTCATTATTTATTTGAATGGTTATGCTATTGGTATCAATGTCTGAAATTTGATTAACATCTGTTAACTTATTTGCATACTGAGTGGATTCACTTGGTATTGCGCTAAGTTACAAATACTTAAGGAAAGATGAATAGTGGCTATCATTAGATTTCAGGATGCATCTTTCGTTTTGCGTGGAACTCGTCGGCTAGGTGTACTTACCACATCAATGTTAATATTCACATCGGGACACGAACAGATTATCTTTCGGTTTAAACACCCAACATACCATCCACATTAACCTTGAAATGATTCAGGCACAAATAAGTGGTTAAATTCATCCCCTTTGTACAAACTAATGGTTATCTAGATTCAGTAACACTGTGGATGATGTACTGGGCACTGGGTTCAAGTCTTGGTGTGAACATCAACACGGATGCAAGTACATCAATGACACCAGCCACTATTAATGTTTACTTAAATTGATCAGTCATGTTTAGAAAGTTCACAATGTCACATTAGTTATATGAATTATTGACATTGATTAATTAATGCGTAGGGACTACTGATATTATGTTTGTTTAGTCTTTAGAGCCATGCGAACTCCGTTGATTAAGGTAATTGGATTAATTATCAAAATAAACTTAGTTAACAAAGTCTTAAAATAAAAGTTACAAGGTAAACACTGTTAGTTCACTCCTACTTACTTTAAGATTTCAGGATTCAGGTTCTAAAGAAAGACAGAGTGAATGCACGTGCTTTATTGTGAACAACTCTGAATCATGGTCACCCGAAATATCTGATAATTGGTTACGATAATTACGTGGATCCCAAACAGGTAGTCTACACCTATTAACATGGTTCAGTCAAATTGTCAACAATTTAATGTAATGGTACCAAGTCTAGGTTTGATCACCCCCAGCTTTCTTCCACCAGGCATTTACCTCTTAAAGACTTGATTAGTAGCTTTTTCAAATACTCCATTTTGTTTCTATAAAATGATCTCGCTAAATTAGTTTACTCCATACAAAATGAAGTGGGAATTTTCCTAAAATAGCCTTTTTTGTGTAGAATTATTGTGAACATTATTCAACTATCTCCAGTGATTAGTTTGCTCTTAACCCTATTACAGATTACTCAAAATATCTCAGTTTAGTTACAGTTAATTCACAGTTTAGTAACTTTTAAACTTATTCTTCATTCTTCAGTTTTACTAACCTAAAATGTATTGAAATGCCTATTAGAATATTTGACAATAATGTTGCATGACACATCGATAAAAATGAACATTTTTCTTACTTTTTTCCCCTTTCTCAATAAATCAGATAACTTGAAATTTTCTATTCCCACTTCATCATCTCCCTCTTCACAACATTTATTACATTATTCTTCATCACCTAATTTTTCATTCTGTCAACGATCACCACCAACATTATTATCTGATAAATCTGTAAATAATCATAATCGTACAACTTCCGTTTATATTGACTGTCCAAATACATCATATTATGATGTAATCACATTTGGTCGAACTTATGAACAATATATTGCTAAAGCTCGAGCAATGGTAGCTTTATCTCCAAAAGATTTAGATGAAATATTCAGTCCATTACGAGAATTACCATTTACTAATCGTGAACATCAATTATCACACTCTTCACTTCATTATCCTAATCAAGATGATATATTATCTTCTAATGTTATCAATGTAACAACAACTCATTGTTCAACTGTCCCATTAATATTAAACACAAATGTTAATTCAATGAAACAATTATCTGATATTAATTCGACAACGATGATCAAGAATCGAAATTGTTTAACTTCTGAATTAAAATTATCTTTAACTAATCTTACATCTTCTATAGAAGAAAATAATAGTAATGATAAGAGTAATGATTATTGTTCTTCGTCTGGTGCTAGTTCTCCACGACATTTAGTTAGTTGTATTGCTGTAACACATAATCGAAATGGACTCAATAGTAATTTAGTAACAAAAGTGAGTTTTTTTCATTTCCCTATTTGATAAATATAATAGTAGTTTTTTGTTTTGTATTACCATTTAACATTAACCGCCCAAAATAACTACAATGAATGAATTTTGTAGTTAGTTTTCTAAATCTTCAGCAATTTTAATTTCTGGTTAACTTTAGAAGTATAACACACCAGTATCTTTTAGATGTGTTATGTTGTAACGACCTACATACTTACGCCTGTTACACCTTGTAGAAAATAGGTCACCGACCAAGATTCTTCAACCGACTCTCCCCTGAACTCTTTATTCCAATTATTAGCAAGTGCTATTCATTCTTTCGATGCCTACCTCTGATTTCCAACGCAATGTGTTATTTGGTCTGCCTCTTTTCCTTTTGCCTTTAGGATTCCAAGTTAGGGTTTACTTTGTGATGCGGTTTGATGATTTCCTCAATGTGTATCCTATCCACCTCCAGAGTTTTTTCCTAATTTTCTCTTCATCTGAAAGTTGGTTTGTTCTTATGGTGTCTGGCTAACAGATCAGGAGCATCTTTTGTAGACAACTGTACTTTTTCTGATGTTGGTTGTGGTAGTTCTCTAAGTTTCAACTCTGTACAATAGAACTGTCTTGACGTTTGTATTGAAAATCTTGATCTATTTGTCACCAAGTAATATCTAACTCTGTAGCTATAAACAAATATCTTCTTTGTTTTTATTGCTTTTTTTAAACTGTATCTTAGATAAATTCTGTATTGAACAATGTTGAATGAGAATCAATTTGTAAGTAGCTAGTTAGATAAAACTGGAATAACATTAACAATGTAGAAAATTCTTTAATTCTCAAAACACAATAAGATTGATGGCGTCCCCAAGCTGAAGATGCTGAGCGACTCTATATTCGATCATTATTGTCTTCGAAAAAGGATTTCTAACTTTGGCTGTGAACAATATGTTAGTAATGCTGATATCCAGCACTGTATGTAGCGTTAATTTAATTAGTATTACCGCCTTGGATACTTGCAACGCATGTCATCTCAGGGCTTTTCTCGTTGTGCATTATTTGCCGACGTTGGGATCGGATGCGAAATTCACCCAGGTGGTGATGCATTCATGCACGGTGCTAATATTTTGCAACTCTTAATTCAATACAATAAATGAAACAACTTCTATCCTCTTCTTTCTGCCTCGCTAACTAGAGTAAATATGCCAGTTTGATAATGGAAGCTTTGTTGATGATCACTTCAGTATATCAATCGAAAATATATTTAAGTTAATCGTTTTCATATTATTTATAGTGGTTAGATTTTATGAACTGAGTCTTTGTTGCTAAACGAGAATCATATTAAAACTTTATTGAAAGTCTATGAGTAGAGTTCTTACTGAGTAGTTTAAAATATGGAAAATTCGTGTTATTCGATATTGATTTGCTTTCTCATAAGTTGCATTTCAAGATTGTACACCCTTAACAGGTAGTCAGTTTATGACATCAAGCCATAGTATAAAAGAAAACTGTCTAGAATTGACATTTGTCGTTTCATCTTGATTTATCTGGTTGGGATCCTAGTGATCTCTTGAACTCCGTAACACATTATCAGATAGGTGTCAGAATCAAACTCAGTGGCGATTCTCTCATGATTTTGTTTTACATTTTTCATAAAAGTGTGGGGAATTTCTCTAAGTGAAAGAATTCTTCTTGGTTGTATTTTTTTAGAAACTGATCTGCCTCTCCTATTTAGATTGTTCTCATTCACATACTTTTATTCGTTTCTTCCTCTTTTGTTTATACCCTCTCACGTTATCTGTCTTGTTACAATTTCATCATTTTATTTGTATGGAGCACATTCATTTTGATTCTCATTTCTGTTGTAGTGAATGAAGACTTGTTTAGAGTAAACCAATCTATTGTATTAAGCAAAATCATACAGCATTTGTAAAATATGGAAACAATACATCGAATACACCATTTGCACAAGACCGGTGAATCGTACTTCACCAGCTCCATCGTTCTTTCGTTCCTTTTGCTTCTCGGACTTTTTTTTCTCTTCTCATGTTCGTCTTGTGTCTGTAAGAATCGTACTTCCAATTCTTTATACATGCTACTGTCCGTAGTACACACCACAGTATCGGTGTATATATGTAGTAAATAAGTAAGATGTAATTTCATTTCTTTCCTTGATTATTTAGAATATAACTGTGCTACCGAGTAACACCACTGATACCCCAGCCATAAAAATTGACAGTCGCGTATCAGCTGCAAGATCGAATTCACTATCATCAGGATTCCGAACAAGTGAATTGAGAAATAATGTTGATCCAGTCGATAATTTTGATCGTGGACGAAGGTATGTCAATGAATCTACATTTCTTTGTAGTTTGACTAGTTTTAAATTTCAGTCGAAATTTTTACTATGCAAAATATGATGTTGAAAAATAAAGGTTGTAGATGCTTGATAGTTTCGTATATCGATTGGTGATTCTGTTTCATTTCCGTTCATCGAGAATTCCTTAGCGAAAGATACATTATACTTTTGTCTTTTTTATTTCGATCATTTACTTTAAACATTTAGTTCAGTAATCGATTACACTTTCTTAACGATCTTTGTATTCAGTTTATTATCTTATCTGTTCAAATATTATCCAATAGCATCAAGGCTAGGTAGGCGAAATTATAGTTCAAAATTCTGACCTAACTTTGTGTAGTATGATTCATAAACTTTTTCGGATCTATCTTACCTACTTAGGTAGTTTATTTAACCTTAATACACCAGATTTGACTCATTGCTTAGTTTGAGTATTTTTATTTTGATAAGTTTGTTAATCAAACGCTCGGTCTGATTTTCTAATCTCTTTTAATAAGCCCAGTCTAAATCACCTACACTGCAACCTGAACACGAGAAAAAGGACGCGAAATACAGAACTGATGCTTTACTCCATGCACAGCAAATTGTATGTATTTATACCAAATAACGTAACCTTGATCGTATCAACAGTTCCAAAAGCATACTAAATATAGCGGTAATAGGGTAGTTATTCAATCAAAAACATCCTTCTAGATGTTTCAAAGAGAATTCCATTCAATACTAATTGGATAGTGCTTATCAGCGGCTTTTTTTTAGAACTTCACAACAATTCAGTTGTTGACTGGTATTAAGTTCTAAATATACCAAAAAATGTCAAATCGTAATAAAATCCCTACGTTTAGATCAACAGTAATATCATGTGGAAAACCAGGAAATACAGAATAAATTGGGCGTTGAAGACTGTTCAACTACTATCAGTGTTATATTTATTTGTTCGTTTACAGTTCACCTTTAGTCCATTTTTATAGTCTCATGGTTGTTTACATACATGTATGCATCTCTTATAATAAAGTTAATTTTGTTTTGTCAAATTGCTGAATATATCAAACATTAATGATAATTGTGTCTTAATTTCGAAAGGATCATTCGATCAGAAATATATTCAGTTTGTTTTTCCCACATCTTGTTCACAAGTAGTCAGTAAAACTCTATTATATGTCAATTAGGATTCAAATGAATTCACCATGTTTAAAGTTTTTATTAGTATAGAGAGTTTGTAGAGATGATTGGATTTCTTTATAGATTACATTATGGGTTGATCTTAGTTAACTAAATATGTGTTAATTTGTTAGAATATAACAAAAATTGATAGTGAAAACATCATCATCATCATCATCATTTCAAAAGAGAATAAAATTTATGGGACATTTTACAGACTGTTTGTTTTATTGATTTTATTCCACTGGGTATATACTACTTTTATGAATGTAACAGAAATAATATAGCGAGAAACTTTTCTAACTTAATGTTTACTTTATTTCATTTATATCATTTTTGTTATTTATTTTAGACGTTCAAATCTTGATTCAATTGATAGAACTCTAAATCGTCAAAATTCTCATATTCATATCAGTATTAGATCTCCTTTAGGTTCACCAAAAAGATCTCAATCACATGTATTTGTATCAAATGGTCGGTTAAATAAATCTGGTGTTTCTAAACCACCTAGATTTGTAAGCTATAAGAGTCCACTGGAATCTGTTGGGAAATCACTTAAAGGTAAGCATTTTTACTTATAATCAATGATAGCATTAAATGGTTCCATCAGACATAATCGTTTTCACTCCAACTTTTACTGAAGATGTTTTGTCAAAGTTGTTAGTGAACTTTCAAGTACAATGTGAAAGAAATTTTTATTTCAGATTATTTTAGATGTTTGTTGACACCTATCTACATCAAGGTATCTACATGTTGTTTTGTAAATCCCTATCTTCATCCCTAGTTACGGATAAATTTCTCCCATAACTCTTGTCAAAGTATTTTCAGCATCTACAGATGTTTATATTATCGTGTGAATTCGATTTACAAGAAAGATTTCATCAAAATTCTGTTGTTTTTCAAGTTGGTTGGAATGTCTTTTTATGTGTATTCCCTTCACTTTTCTGTTGGAATTAAGAGAGAATATACTAATCAGTTTACTGTGTATGCGTACTCAAAAGAAATTCCCTTTTGTCAGAGATAATATTTAAGGAACAGGAGTGAGAATAAAGACTAAACGACGAGACTATAATTTATGGACGAACTAATCAGATTTAAGATAAGAGGTTTCGGATTTCGGCGCGAAATTCATTCATCCATTTATTTGACTAAATAGCGTCTTGGTATTTTAGCTGATAACAGTTCGTGATGAAAACCTTAAATCTAATTCCTAACCCTAACCATCCATTGTAATTCATAATTTTAATAGCCTACACTGCTTTATAACGCTTGATTAGTCATAGTTAGTAGGTGGACTCTCTGAAGGTCACTTCGGCGTCCTTCAAAGGTCGTCCACAAAATATAATTTCACCAGTGTACAAAACTTGAAAAACTATCATTCAGATGCACATACATTGCATAGAATTTAGTTTGTGTATTATTTTATTTTTGAAATAAATGATTCAAACGGTCCTAATTCTTTCAAATTATTTCTTATTGTGAAACATCTTACGGTTCTTTTTGGAAGAAAAATAATGTAAGTTTAAGTGAAGTTGAATAATGACTAGCAGTTGTATTTTGGACATGGGCTTCTGTTTCTGTCTAACTCGTGCGTTCGGTGTGTCCGACACATATCAGTGTTGTTGTTCACACCGGGGTTTCGATCCATTATGTTTTTGTTTCAATCACTCAATGTGTTATCCTCTGAGTCTAGATAGCTACTGGCTTATGTAACGGGGATGCATTTTATTATTGATTTGTGTTTAGACTCTGGAATGGAAGTACATCCAGCTGATTCATTTAGATAATACATATTAGATTTAATGGTTAATCACTATTCATGTTTACTTATAAATTTATAACTTAATAACAATATCACGGTATCACATACAGGATGTGCTTTTACCAAAATAGATTGATCAAATATCAGGCACGAATACCAACAATTGGGAGATTCAGACACAAATAAATGAAATTATATTAATCTGAAATATTATCTTTTTCTTTTATTATCATTGTTATATATACTGTTTTCAATATTCTCTTGTGAAAAATTAATCTTTAGCTAACCATAATCAACCAATGGACCATGATAAGCAATCGACACGAAACATGACAAACAATATTTCATCTTCCTCTTTGTTGTGTAATAATTTATCAAAAGAAGTTAATAGTGATGATGTATTGAATAAACGAGGACGTCGAAAGTCGCGTGCACCTGCTCCACCAACCAAATTAGTGGAGAATACTGCTGTTACTACTATTAGCACTACTGTTACTACTACCAATACTACCACTACTACTACGATTAAAGCTCCATTAGCAGTTTCCGAATGTAGTATGTTCTATTGTTATCAACTTAATTGTATTAATTTAAAACAATTTATTTTGCTTGATGTAGTTTTTTGATTGGTTAATAAAAAGATGACACCGATTTCAGAAGAGAAACTGGTATAAACATTCTATGCTAGTGACACGGAACAATTTATCAGCTATTCAGAACAAATCATAGTCAGTTATAGAATGAATTATAATAAAAAGTAATTAGTTTCAACAGATAAATAGTCTTGACACATGGTTAATGAATGTTTACTATATTTATGTGTGTAGTAAAAGGAAAAAGGTTTAGATTTAAAAGTGTTATGAGTAATAGTTGGCTTTAGGAGTTAAGGTTGGGGCTTTCATTATGAGCGGACATAAGCTATAATGTAAGAATGGTTTGTAGATATATGGATAACTGACGTTTGTTCAAAATGTGAGGATCATTTACTTGATTAATTCGTCTGTAAATAATCGTTCTACGTATAAAAAAACTCTTGGCTATGCTTTGAACTATATAGAGTACACTCAACAATCAACTACCCTTTCAGATAAAAAGTCTGTACCAGGAACTGATGTTTCTTGTAATTTGTCTTACACAGAACATCAGATTCATTATGTAGGGCAGCATAACAGTTACGTTTATTAAGTTTAAGCATCTTAGAAACTAGATGTAGCTAATTTTTACTCATTTTTTTTAAAGAAATAGGATCCAAGCTATTCTCACCTAACTTTAGTATTTGGCACACAAACCAAAACGTACTATTCTAAAATCCGATAGGTTCATCAGCATTGTATATTTTTACCAGAAAACTTACGGAAAGAAAGCCAACTGAACAAAATAGGAGTAATGGGGAGAGTTAGAGATGAATGTAGTAGTTTAACGATATAGTAGCTGATTTTCCTATCAACTCTACCATCGGAAATAAATTTAGTATCAGGATGACAGATTGTCGGTTAAGACAAAGTTATTTTTTTAATAGATTTCGAGGTTTCTTTATCATTAAATCAATAAATTCAGTAACAACAAGCTGTATGACAGTATTATTAACTGTTACACAAATAACAAACGTCTTTCTTGGATAAAAAAATAGTTTAATAAATAGCATAAAAAACAATAGGAATGACAAGGAAATGTAGTTATCATAAGGAAAGAGATTACAAGGTTAGTAATATAAATGAATGCTTAAGAAAAATTACGCATTGTTATAGTGAAACACCTCAAGTTGTCTACCGTCGAATGAATGACAATTTCTCAAACTACTGAATATTAGTTTGTAGTATGATGTAACACAGGAAAACGGATAAAAAGAAGACGGAAAACAAGATCGAATTACCATACGTAATCAGTTTAGACGACATGCAAAATATCGTTTATATTATTCAATGTGATGTATGGGGAACGGAATATTGAATTCTAAATGACTCGTAATACCCTCTCTAATTCGCATTCTTTTACAAAGTTTGGAAAGTGATAAGATAGATTATGTGATAAATATAGAAGTTGTGAAGACTTTACGTAAGATTCCAATCACATGTACTTAGTGAATGAGCAAAGCAATGAATGAAGGTATGATTTTGGTGTACATAGAAATAAAAATTAGTTTTGCGAAGACCACATAACAAAACAAACTGATCAAATAATAATGACGATAACAAAAAATAATCTACCAAAATAGTGATAAGTTGATTACTATCTATTTCTTGATACATAGATTAGGTTTGAGTTTCTTTATTGACACTGCCTAAGGAAACCGGAAAGACGCTAAGTTTTCTTGTCTGCTAATAGTTCTGAAGTATTGTGGAATGTTAATAGTATTCCTGGTATCAATAAAATACTGAGCTATTAACCTGTTTAGAGCCGTTGCATCCCTCTCAGCCTCAAGTTCTTTGGAACGTACTTGAAAATACACAACTGCATTTTTCAGTTTACGTGTACATGACAAGGCACATACATTTTAGGAAAAAAGAGAAGATTACACGTATTCACTCACAACTATAAATAGTTTGACATTTTTAACTTGACCAATTCTTTTCATATTGGTGAATACAAACTTTTTATAATTGTTCTCTTTTAAAGGCAAAGAGTTTGAGGATAATGACGATGATGAATGTTTAGAATCTATCTGTCAAGGTCGTGCACGTGCTGTAACAACATCTTTGTCAGCAACATCTGTAAAATCAAATATTCCTTGTTTAACAACTTCGCAACATATTGTCTCTACTTCATTTCGCAATACAATTAATAATGTAAATGGAAGTAATACAGAGAAACCAGTCAAGCCACCACGAAGACTTAATAATAATACATCCTCTTCCACTGAAGCTCTGCATAAATCTGAAAAGAGTATATGTAGTCGATATTATTCTCCAACTTTAAAAAGTTTTCATAATCCTTCAACCTCACAACACAAGTTTCCTCATGATATCCCTTCTCAACATCGGGGTATTGTTAAAAATATGATAAGTAAATTTCAGCAGCCTTAAAATCTAGATTTTTGTTCCTCTCAATTGATCTGCTTTCTATCTTGTCATTTATAATTTTTAACTGTAAGAATCCATCGCTTCTTGCTAACTGCCTAACTGATTCTATCCTTACCGGTTTCTACAGATTCTTTTTTATATAATTTGAAAACTACTTTTATTCATTTAGGGAAACACTACTTATAATGAATAAGTAGTTAAAATTATTTAGTGAAATTAATGTACTGTTTGTTTTTACATATTCATTTTCGTCGTAAAAAACATACTAATTTGCTTTTGTCAATAATTTTCTGCTTATTTTGATGAATAACGAAGAGAGAGATTTTTGTCTCCTTTTCAAACGGATACATATTTATTATCTACTGGTTAATGATATTTACTTTTTCTTTCGTGTTTATAAGTATTTTGTTATGAATTTATTGTTTCTTTTCAAATAGTTATTTGTAATTTGTGTTTTCCATTATATTTATTCAGTTTCATTTTCCTTTCTGTCCATTTATTGTTCAGTTTATGAATCGATTTTTTTTGTTTCTTTAGGGGTGGGCTAAGAGAGTTGGTTGTCGTAATTGTTCTGTTTATTGTTTATCTATGTTCCTTTTTTCGTTTCTACGTTGTTTTGTTTCTTTTGAAGTCACAGTTTAGGATTTTCACTATTTTTTTTCCGAATGACTTCTGGAAGAGTTCATGATATGTTTCCATATAGGATTTAAGAGAAGTTTTGCTTATCCATGTGATATTTTATTTGTTGATGTAGTCATAATATGTTTTGAGAATAAAATGTTCCTGGACTGATTGATAAGATCATCATCATCACCATCATGATCATTATGTCACTTGCAAATAAAAAAATAGGATTATACCGTTTCATTTACTTTCGTTAATTTACGAAAGATTTCTTATACTCTAATGCTTTTCTTTTCAATATTTAATAAAGAGTATTTGTTAGCTTATTATAAAAAGTATTCATATTATTGTATCTGGGAAAATATTTCAATTTATATTAGTTATAGTAATGAGTACATGAGTATGAATGTGGTGAATGATCATTATTCAGTGTTGCAAAACATTTGATTTTTGCTTTTCATTATGAATGTAACATGAAACTTTAGATACTCTATTCTATTATTGCTGAGTCAATGAAAAACAATGTAACTGCGAGCCAGATAATTAAGTGTTAATATATGTGACTGACACTGGATATAAGTTAGAATCACATGGAAAACTTCAGTCCTATCCTTGATATGGTGATATCTTAATCAGCAATTTCGAATCGCATGAAACCTAGATTAGAAGTTTCCAATTAATTTCTTCAATTCACCTAGCAAAAAAAGAATTTGTCTATACTCTTATACTTCTGAAAATCTAAGGAACATATCATCTAAATAAAGATGAATGAAAATGGTCTTGGACTCTAGGAAGAAAATGAAAGCTCAGTTTTCATTTAAAGTAAAACTGATTGATAAGGACTATTTAATCGTTCTTGTGTGGAGATAAAGATCTTTGTAGAAGAATTCAATGCCCTGGTATGGCCAAGAGTGGGGAAAGCCAGATCTCCTCCTACAAATGCTCTCACATGGCCACACGTATACAGCCACTCTAAGGGAGGTCATACTCACTGCCTGCTTGCAACACTACTATTGTTTACGAAATCGAGAGGACGAAAAGCGGATGTCCAGCGCTTTAACCGGGTTGATGGATACGGAGGAGTTAGAAAACCGTGATTTCAAGCCAACGGTATACATGGGCTCCAGTATCCTGAAGGGACAATTGGTGTATGAACCAATCGTTGATCACCTCTACCATGGGACTTCATCTCCTTACATTGCTCCACTACCTTATGGATCAAACCTTTAGGTGGAACACTTCGGGTGTGGCCCCCTAAGGAAACCAACTGCTTCGGTTTGTGCACCCGGAGAGTATTCTATCCCTCTAACAAGTCTAGTGATTTGTGTGGCACATATCTATTTGTTGCCTCCTTTTACCAATGTTTATGTTTAAATAAACAATCAACATGGTATAATTGAATGTCACAGCATTTTCAAATTAAACTGTTGATACTTTAACACGAAGTCTGTCAATAAATAATCTACAACTGTATTTTAAATTATAATGCGTTTGTAGATGTTGCTACTAAGATTTAATAATTTCAAACATTTTGAGCATTGGATAGATTGTTATTTAATCAAAGCAATATATTTGTAATGTCCTAACAAGTAGGAAAATTAAGCTTTTAAATTTTTTCGACGTTTCGTGACTGTATATTAGCCGCTTCTTCAGTGTTTAAAAAATCTTTAAGGAAGTGGATAAAACTGAGTTAAGAAACAAATATATAATCATTTCAGGAGTTGAGATCATGAGTCGATTTAGGCTAGACCACCATTTAAAACTTGTATGTACTGAACGGCCGTTTCGTCCCATTGTGGGACTCTACAGCATGGTGGTCTAGCTTCAATTGACTCATGATCTCAACCATTGAAATTACTAAAATCTCCACAAAAACCCTTCTGATATTAATCAACATATGCTCAATAGTGTACGACTTCAAGAGGTATATCCTGGAGTTCTAGTGAGAAACACTGACCAGGTTTGTTGTGACATAGTAACTCGCTGAAGACAATGGTGGATGTGTTACTGAATTTCGTAAATTGGTTGAAGTTAAACATTAGCACTGTTGGATGCCGTCCAGCTTATTGGTCTAAATGTTAAGCGCTCGTGCGCACAAGACTGATTAGTCCCACAATAGGACGTGACGGTCATCCAGTGCTTCCAGGTTTTCCATGATGGTCTAGTTTCAATTGACTCATGATCTCAACTATTGAAATGACTAAATTCTTCACAAAATCCTTTCTGATATAATCTTTTATTAATAAAATCATAATGTTTTGTTCCATACAGTTGTGGATTATAAGTTAAAATAAGAAATTATGCTGGATACAATTGAATCAACATTAATAAACGATTGTATTTCTATCTAACTAATCCCTATTCACTTTTATCGATCAATACAATAATCATATTTTGAAAGTGAAGTAAATGTTTTTTTGTTTTTTTCTTCATGATTTCTTTTCTCTTTTTTTTTCTGTTGATATAAATGGAATTATTATTTAATATAATAAAACATTCTTTCTTTTTTTTCGTTACTTTTGTAACATTTTTTCTATACAAAACACTTCATTTAAACAAGTAATGAACAGGAAATGAATAAAAGTTAGTTTAACAATGAATGTTTTAAAACAACAACATCAGCAACGAAAAAAAGAACGATTTTCGATGATACTTATCAAAAGAACGAAGGTTTATTGAAAATTGTGGTAATTCTAATAGTTACATTCATGTGTTGTGGGTTTTTTTTTGGATGAAGTTTTTTTCTCTGAGTTGGATGGTTTAGTCGTGGAGATTTCATCGTTCTTCTGAAAACCTGGAAGCACTGGTGGTTGTTTCGTTTTAGTATGAAACTCCTCAGTATTGCACATACACTATCCCGTATATAACAATCGAACACAGGATTTTCGGTCTCGTGCGGGAACACTTAACCTCTCGAGTACAGAACCGGTATCCGACAGTGTTGATGTCCAACCCTAGTCGATTCATGGTCTTCTGCAACCGTTCATCCATTGTGGGAGGTAGATACCTGTCTCTACCTGACACGGATTGAACTCCATTATTCACGGCTTCTCGTTAGAATTCGAAGAACCCCCTCACGAAGCTAGTCACTAGAGAAGTCAGGTTTAAGGTGAACCACACGTGGAGAAATTCGAACACTTCACTTTTATTTGAAGTTTGTGCTGATGAATTAATTCAATTTACTCAACTGGTAAGTAGTTGTGTGGTATGTACTACTGATGTCAACAGATATAAATAGTATGTCTCATCAATCGAAAGTGAGTGCCTAAAGGCAGAAAGTCGAGAAAATCGAAAAAAAAACAAGAACAGAGAGTGATTGATATAGAAACGACAGGAGAACAAATTCTAAGACAATTGATTGATATTCTGCAAATGATCTAGTTGTCCCCACATATGTGTTCTCGTTTACTGCAGTGAATACGACACCAAAAAGATAAAAACGAAACATTCATTCATTATTTTAGACTATTCTTCTTCTTCTTCGTCAACTACATATTTTTCTATTTGTCTATTATTTTGTTTGTTTATACTCACGCAATCTTTCAACGGTACCGTATTTTTCATTCATGTACAAAATGATTGTGTCATTATCTGGGTCGATTGTTTTATTGTTTGTTTTATTGTCTCCGAATTCAATGAAGAAATCGACTATTTTGTAAAACATGAAATGGATTCTATTCAATAAGGTTTTATTCAGTCTACAAAACAATATTATTATATTTCTAATGTATTGAGTTGGTTAATTTCTCTTTTCCCTAGAACTAATTTAAACAAAATTTCTATTTAGAATGAATGGATTATAATGGTAGTAATAAAATGAATAAGGAATATTTCGTCCTATCTACAATTCATCAACCGTAAATATTTACATTCATGGGTTGAATTTCATTATTAGGTTTTGAACTAAGTATTTTTCAATTTGAATACGGATGCTTTATTCATTGAGTTATTCAACTTAGTGACCCATTAACTTGTTTAATGAATATAATGTTTTATGTCATTATAAATAAAGGTTTGAATGATCCTATAGTTAGTATTTAAAATGAATCTTAATCAGTCTTTTTTAGGATATATGTAGGAAGTCAATCAGTGTTCAAATAGCCCAGTGATAATTTTTCCAACTATAACTATGGTTAAAGTAAATCTGAATATTACAGAAAGTATTGTGGTGTGTGCTACTTATGTAGACATAAGTAGTATATGATGTTAGTCGTGAATAGAATGTCTAGCAGCAAAGAGACAAGAAGATCGAACTGTGAAAAATAAAGACAGAATGCAATTTTTATGAAAATACAAGAACAATGAAGTCTAAGTCATTTTGAGACAATTGATGGACATTTTGCAAATTGAGCATTTAATATATGGTTGTTAGATTTTATTAACAAGTCCTGTAATAATGTGTTAAATACGTTCGATTGTTCCCTATCAGTATTCTTGTTCACTACAGTATTACTTCTCAAAGGATTGGAGAAAATTTTTCTTGAAAAATGTTATTTAACACGAAATCTAAGGTATCTTACTGACCACATCCAATAGTCGGTTGATAAAGACAAATCTATCACCGCCGAACATTTCTTAATAGACTTATGTTTATATAGAGAAAGAATTATTTATCTAAGTCTCTTAGCTTTGTTCCAGTTAAAATTTTTAACTTTCTACATTGGATATGAAAAAACACAACAAATGAATATCAAGTAACTCATTTACTTCTAATGACTTGAAAATATACACTTTTGATCATAAAATAATCTTAACATTTCATAACAGACCCGGTTGAACTCCACTGGTCACTTTTTCTTACTAGAACTCCAGGAAATACTTCTTGAAGCCAGCTATTAATGAGATGATGATTATTATCAGAATGTGGTTTTGTGGAGACTTTTAGTAATTTAATAGTTGAATTCATGAGTTGATTAAATCTGGACCACCATGGAAATACTTGGAAGCACTGAACGGTCGTGGATGCACACTGCTGAGGAGTCTCATACTAGAACGAAACGACCGTCCAGTGCTTCCAGGTTTTCAATGGTGGTCTAGCTTTAATTGACTCATGAATTTAACTATTAAGTTGATTTTCTTTGCTAAAATAATGTTCTATAGTAATATAGAAATGTGCTAATTATTTAATAAACTATCTTACTATTGAATATCATTTTAGCAAATGAAATTAACTATAAATACAATTGTACAACTTAAGTAAATAAAATTGTCGTAAAGAAGATTTTCTTCTCAAAAAATGGATCACTTTCGTTATTGATCAATGTGAGTTAATTTCACTTCACTTTTAGTTGATATTAATTAATTCATAAACTAGGCAGTTGAAAATTGTACAGTGTTTTGTTACTTGGATTTCATCAATTAGTGAACTGTTAATCCGGATTTTAGTCATACTGTTTGTTGGTAATATTAGTGATATCATTCGGTTGACCAAAACCAAAATTGTTGCAATGGAGTTCAAGTATACATTCACTTGGTATTGTTTAATTGAATCTTCGCATTGATCTTTATGACTACAATTGATAAGTTTCTTATTGATATATGTACATACTGTGCGTATGGTCTCCATATTGCCTTAATTCACAAGCATTATAAGCAAAGATGGATCCCACTGTTAGTCACTTTCCATCTGTGCTTAGGAGTTCAAGTATATTTTTCACTGTTTGAATATCATATCACATATGATATTGTACATAACAAATAGATCATATTATTCAGGAATAATTAACTTAACTGCTTCTCACTCGAATTTCAGGAAATCCATCTTGAAGCTGGCCACTAATAAGCATATGATGATTATCAGAATGGAGGTTTGTGGAGATTGCAGGAATTTTAATAGTTTAATTCATGAGTCGGATAGAGACAGATATCTATCTCAGACAATGGAGGAATGGCTGTGCAAGATCATTTATCGATTGAGGTTAGATATTAACGCCGTTGGATGTCGGCTCAGGGGTCTATAGCTTAAACGTTCGCGTATGATACCGAAAATCTTGTGTTCGATTGTTGTTTACAGGATCGTGTATGTGCACTACTGAGGCGTCTCATACTGGGACGAAAAAGTCATCCAATGGTTCAAGGTTTTCAGTGGTGGTCTAGCTTAAATCAATTCAACTAATAAAGCTAAATTATTTCACAAACAGTTTTTAAATGGCACTAAGGCTTATTTTTACTCAATATTAGATAATATTAAAGAAATATAGTATTTCATACTGATGCAAATCAGTAATTAAATAATGATGGGAGCTGCCAAGATGCATTTTTACATTAATTAATGCTTAAATAAAGATGGTTAGTCAATAACAGTAGAATCCAGGACTTTTTTTTCTTTCTGTTTGTGATTCGTCAGCTGAATATACCTGATATATCTCACTGTTGGTGTTCAAACCGAAAGGCAATTCTCTTATGGTGCACACACATCGAAGGTAATTAATTCAAATTATGTCCTTAACATTAACAGTCAGAAGATTTAA